CTACAGGAAACCCACCTCACAAAAAAAGACGCACACAGACTGATGGTGAAGGGATGGAAAAAGGTTTTTCAGGCCAATGGAAGTGAAAAAAAAGCCGGGGTAGCAATACTTATATCTGACAAATTAGATCTCAAAGTGAAGGACATAAAAAGAGATCAAGAAGGCCACTTCATAATACTAAAGGGAGCAGTCCAACAAGAAGAAATAACTCTGGTAAATATATATGCACCCAATATAGGAGCACCCAAATACGTAAGAAATCTTCTGGAGAAGATCAAGGGAGAGATTGACAGCAATACAATTATAGTAGGGGATCTTAACACCCCATTATCTCCACTGGACAAATCCTCTAAACAGAAACTCAGCAAAGAAACATCAATCCTAAATGACTCACTAGATCAGATGGAATTAATTGACATCTTCAGAACATTTCACCCCAAAGTCACAGAATATACATTCTCCTCGGGTGCACATTTGTCATCTTCAAAGATAGACCATATATTGGGTCACAGACAAAGTCTCTTCAAATTCAAGAAAATTGAAATCATATCAAGTATCTTCTCAGATCACAAAGGCATAAAACTGGAAATCAACTACAACAAAAACAATCCAAAAAAATCAAACACATGGAGACTAAATAGCATGCTATTAAACAACGACTGGGTCACCAGTGAGATCAAAGAAGAAATAAAAAACATCATGGCAACAAATGACAATGAAAACACAACAATCCAAAACCTATGGGACACAGCAAAAGCAGTCTTGAGAGGGAAGTTCATAGCTCTACAAGCCTACTGCAAGAAACAAGAAACAATGAGAATAAATGACCTAACTCTACAACTCGAAGAATTAGAAAGAGAGCAACAAAAAAAGCCCACTGTAAGCAGAAGGAAGGAAATAACAAAGATCAGAGTGGAGATAAACGACATAGAGACCAAAAAAACAATACAAAAGATCAACAAAACCAAGAGCTGGTTCTTTGAAAGGATAAACAAGATTGATACACCTCTAGCCAGGCTCACCAAGAAACAAAGAGAGAGGACCCAAATAAACAAAATCAGAAATGAAAGAGGAGAAATAACAACAGACCCCATAGAAATACAAAGGATTGTTAGAAAATACTATGAACAACTCTACTCCAACACACTAGACAACCTGGAGGAAATGGACATATTCCTAGATAAATACAACCTTCCAAAACTTAACCAGGAAGAATCTAAAAATCTCAATAGGCCAATAACTATGGAGGAAATCGAAGCAGTAATCAAAAAGCTTCCAGCAAACAAAAGCCCGGGGCCAGATGGCTTCACAGGGGAGTTTTACCAAACATTCAAGGAAGACCTAAAACCTATCCTCCTCAGACTATGTCAAAAGATCCAAGAGGAAGGAGCACTTCCCAGCTCATTCTATGAAGCCAACATCACCCTAATCCCAAAACCAGATAAAGACAATACAATGAAAGAGAATTACAGGCCAATATCCCTCATGAACATAGATGCCAAAATCCTCAACAAAATCCTAGCAAATCGGATCCACGAGTACATCAAAAAGATCATACACCATGACCAAGTAGGATTTATCCCAGGGATGCAAGGATGGTACAATATCCGCAAATCAATAAATGTGATACATCACATAAACAAATTGAGAGAGAAAAACCACATAGTCATATCAATTGATGCGGAAAAAGCATTTGACAAAATCCAACACCCTTTCTTGATAAAAACTCTCAGCAAGATAGGAATTGAGGGATCATACCTCAACACAATAAAAGCCATATATGACAAACCCACAGCCAACATCATAATCAATGGGCAAAAACTAAAACCATTCCCCCTAAAAACAGGAACAAGACAGGGATGCCCCCTCTCACCACTCCTGTTCAACATAGTACTGGAAGTACTAGCCATTGCGATCAGACACGAAGAAGAAATAAAAGGCATCCAGATTGGAAAAGAAGAAGTAAAACTGTCCTTATTTGCAGATGACATGATACTGTACATACAGAACCCTAAAGACTCCATCAAAAAATTATTAGACTTAATAAATGAATTTGGCAATGTAGCAGGATACAAAATTAATGCTAAGAAATCCATGGCATTTCTTTACACCAATAGTGAACTTACAGAAAGTGAAACTACAGAAGCAATCCCATTTACCATTGCACCAAAAAAATTAAAATACCTAGGAATAAACTTAACTAAGGAGGTAAAAGACTTATATGCTGAAAACTACAGGACACTGAAAAAAGAGATAGAGGAAGACATAAACAGATGGAAGAATATACCGTGTTCATGGATTGGTAGAATCAACATCATCAAAATGTCCATACTACCCAAAGCAATTTATAGATTCAATGCAATCCCCATTAAATTACCAACAGCATATTTCACAGATCTAGAACGAACGTTCCAAAAATTCATCTGGAATAAAAAAAGACCCCGAATAGCTGCAACAATCCTCAGAAAGAACAAAGTAGGTGGGATCTCAATACCAGATATCAAACTGTATTACAAAGCCACTGTTCTTAAAACAGCTTGGTACTGGCACAAGAACAGACATATAGATCAATGGAATAGAATAGAGACCCCAGAAATCAACCCAAACCACTATGCCCAATTAATATTCGACAAAGGAGGCAAGAACATACAATGGAGTCAAGACAGTCTTTTCAATAAATGGTGTTGGGAAAATTGGACAGATACATGCAAAAGGATGAAACTAGATCACCAACTCACACCATACACAAAAATAAACTCAAAATGGATAAAAGACTTAAACGTAAGACGGGAAACCATAAAAATACTAGAGGAATCCACAGGCAGCGAAATCGCAAACATATGCCGAAGAAATTTCTTCTCTGATAATGCTCCTAGGGCAATGGAAACTAAAGAGAAAATAAACAAATGGGACTACATCAAAATAAAAAGCTTTTGCACAGCAAAGGAAACCATCAACAAAACAACAAGAAGACCCACTACATGGGAGAACATATTTGCCAATGATACCACCGATAAGGGTTTAATTTCCAACATTTACAGGGATCTCATGAAACTTAACAAAAGGAAGATAAACAATCCAATAAAAAAATGGGCAACGGACCTAGATAGACACTTTTCGAAAGAGGACATACAGAAGGCCGAAAGACATATGAAAACCTGCTCAAAGTCACTAATTATACGAGAGATGCAAATCAAAACGACAATGCGTTATCATCTCACACCTGTCAGAATGGCTGTCATCAACAAATCAACAAACAACAAGTGTTGGAGAGGATGTGGAGAAAAAGGAACCCTTCTGCACTGCTGGTGGGAATGCAGACTGGTGCAGCCACTGTGGAGAACAGTATGGAGCTACCTCAGAAGACTAAAAATGGAACTCCCATTTGACCCAGTGATCCCACTACTAGGAATATATCCCAAGAAACCAGAAACGCCAATCAGAGAGGATATATGCACCCCTATGTTCATAGCAGCACAATTCACCATAGCTAAGATTTGGAAACAGCCTAAGTGCCCATCAGCAGATGAGTGGATTAGAAAACTGTGGTACATATACACAATGGAATACTATGCTGCGGTAAAAAAAAAGGAACTCTTGCCTTTTGCAACAGCATGGATGGAACTGGAGAGCATTATGCTAAGTGAAATAAGCCAGTCAGAGAAAGATAAATACCACATGATCTCACTCATTTGTGGATTATAGAGAACAACATAGACTGATGAAAAGGGACAGACTCAAAGACTGAGAAACAGCAATCAGGCTACCAATCCCCAGAAGGAAAGTAGGGGAGGGCGGGGGTAAGGGGAAGAGATCAACCGAAGGACTTGTATACATGTATATAAGCCATACCAATGGACATGGACAACAGGGGGATGGGAGCATGAGTGTGTGTGTGGGGGGGAGGTTGGGGGTTAATGGGGGGATGAGGACACATTTGTAATACCTTAACTAATAATAATAATAAAAAAAAATAATTTGGTCAAGAAAAAAAAAAAAAAAAACAAAAACAAAAAAAACAAAAAACAAAACAAAAAAAAAAACTGATGAACAAGGACTGATCCAGAGACGGAGAGGCATTGATTGGACTGTCGGGCCTTGGGGGGAAGGTAGGGGAGGGTTGGGGGTAAGGGGGAAAGATCAACCAAAGGACTTATATGCAAGCATATAGGCCTAACCAATGGACACGGACAACGGGGGGGTGAGGGCATGAGCGGGGGTGGGGGGTGGGGGGGGGAGGGGAGGCGGGTAGAGGGTAACGTGGGGATAAGGACACATATGTAATATCTTAATCAATAAAAAATATATTTAAAAAAAAGACTTATGTCATAGGGTTATTCTGCAGTTTAAATGACAACTGTTGCAACACTTTTGGCACATAACAAATTATTTGTTTATGACTTTTTTCAATTTTACAGCTTTTAAAAAATCCAGTGTTAAATTACCTTTCTTACCTATTTTTATTCAAAGTAGTATATACCTTTTGCTCCATAACTTCATGCTGTTTTCCTCTTTTTTAAAATTCCATTATTAACTTTTCTTTATTTTAAATAAATTAAATTCACCTCATAAGGATATCACTTCATAGATTTGGTAGATGCAATAGATGTTTTCATTTTTCCTCAACTAGCACATTATAAAGACCTTCTCTTAATTATGATGGAGTATGCCAGGCTGGTTGTAAGCCTGTGTGATGATGTTGCTGTAGAATAAAATTACTAGAAGGAGGATACTCTTTATGTTTATTTTTTATTATGTTTCCTAACATATTCAGTTAAATTTCACGTGAGGATGCTCTAATAAGAACTACAGGCTATGTTATAATTCACTTAAGACAAATAATCATTCTTTTTTTATAAATAAGAAAACTTTAATTCTAGAAAACATAAAAATAAACTTTATATAATATTTAAGCTATATACACACATGTGTTTAAGAAACCAGTTTTGGGTAAGTGCATGAAACTTAAACTTTATTTTGAAATTAAAATTTATTTTTAGAATGTAAATTTCACTACAGTCCAAAGGAAATACTTCAATGAAACAAAAGGATTAGAGTACATTGAACAGTTATGCATCGCAGAATTCAGCACTGTCCTGATGGAGGTTCAGTCCAAGTAAGTTATGACTTAAGGACAGTCATAAATGTTTAGCGTAAGTTCCACAAGGACAAGGTCTTTTGTCTGTTTTGTTTTCTGCTATATTCCTATTACCTGGAAAAGTGCCTGGCTTATTTTTAAAAATATTTTAAAAATTATTTATTGATTGATTGATTTTTAGAGAGAGAGGAAGGGAGAGGGGGAGAGAGAAAAACACATCAATATGGGAGTGCAACACCTATTGGTTGCCTCCTGCATGCCCCCTACCAGCGATTGAGCCTGTAACCTAGGCATGTGCCCTGACCAGGAATTAAACTGGCAACTTTTTGGTGCATGGGACAGTGCATGCACCAACTTAACCACACTGGCCAGGGCAAAAAGTGCCTGGCTTATAATACAATTGAGCAGTTATTAAAATAGTAAAATAGTTAACTAAAATTTATACACAAGGCATATCTTGCTAACTTAATTTATATATAATTTCTCCAAATTAGTCATAACCTATTGCCCTAATGGTTGCTGCTTACTTTATTTTGGAGTGAAAAGCTCAATAGCTATTTAGTAAACTAGAAATGTGATTAAAGCTGTGTTCCTGTTAATTCATAACTTTACTCCTAAAAGATTCAGCATGAGACAGGGAATGATATTTTTGCAAAGGATATTTCTTAGAGCATGCTAAATAGATACTGTGACCACTTGTTTACTCAGTTAATCATAATGACTACTCGCACTGAGATCATAATGTACTTTCCTATATGTTGGGACCTCCTGACTTTACCTTCGAAGCTCAGACTCTTTCAATATTATTTGAATACTTATAATGGCACATAAAAATTGACACAAATTATCATTGAATGTTGACTTCTAATGTGATTTATTGGCATTTAATATCCCTTGAGTGTCAGACTTCAGAAAATTGTTCATTTTTATCATGGTTTATGATTTAGAGGTAATTTACATTGTTTTAAAAAAAATCAAGAACACTTAGTGTACTTTTTTTTACTTTAAATTTGAGCAGTGCTATGCAAGTATTTATAATTTTTCTAGTATTAAGTTGCAATACATGTTTCACTTAGAGCAATTTTTTTAAATTCTAAAGCAGTGGTTCTCAACCTTCCTAATGCCGAGACCCTTTAATACAGTTCCTCATGTTGTGGTGACCCCCAACCATAAAATTATTTTCGTTGCTACTTCATAACTGTAATTTTGCTACTGTTATGAATCATAATGTAAATATCTGATATGCAGGATGTATTTTCATTGTTACAAATTGAACATAATTAAAGCATAGTGATTAATCACAAAAACAATATGTAATTATATATGTGTTTTCCGATGGTCTTAGGCAACCCCTATGAAAGGGTCGTTTGACCCCCAAAGGGGTTGCGACCCACAGGTTGAGAACCGCTGTTCTACAGATTTATAATTATGTATCATGGGTCACCTTACAGGTATTACTGCCTTGCAGCTGTGGCAGCTTTATTAAAATATGTTGAATTTATTCAAAATTCAGTTTATGCACCAAAATCGCTGAAGATTTGTTTCCAAGGTAGTGAACAGACAGCCATGATAGATTCATCATCAGCCCAAAATCTTGAATTACTAGTTAATATTCAAGACTCTAGGTAAGATCACCCATTTTTTTTATATAAAATGTATCAGCATATTTTACTATGTCATATTTTTTATGTATAGTTTATATTTTAAAAAATTGGTTAGTGGAGAATAATTGCATTGTTGCTCAACTGTTCAGATGTTTCACCAAAATCAGATTTTTAAAAGATACTTGCGGAAATGGCATAAGCCACTGCCTGTGTGCTGCCCAGGGCTCCTGGGGCCATCTGACATAAGCTACAAAGTGATCTGCAGATGCCTGTTACTTGTGCTGGGCTTGGAGCTGCCCAGGAGAGGCCAAGCTACAAACCAAGGCTGGCTGGCTACTGCTAGTGCCAGGCCTGGGGCGACTTAACGAGAGGTATGGGGCACACTGAGGCCAAATGCTGCTATTTTAAGAGGTTTAAGGAAAGTCTGAAGCATGAGACTTCATTCGTATGGAACAAGTCATTCGTATGGAAAAGTCACTGGAAACAGCCTGGGTGGGCCCCCACGTTGGGTGGGGCAAGATCTCAGGGAATCCCAGTGTAGGGAGAATAGTGGCAAGCCAGGTTGATGGAAACTCAGATACGGTGCTTGCCTGCCGACTTTGTGGAGGGGTCATTGTATCTCAGAAAAGGAACAGTGGTCTCTGCCAGAACTTCTCTGCCCTTTGAGCTCTTGATCTGATGCCAGACAGTTCCTTTTCTGTCCGCATGTCCCTGGTGCCTTTTCAGCTGATGCTCCGGCACTGGAGCCCAGAGGGAGCGAGTCTGAGTAAGTCCATGCATGGGCCATTTAGGAGGAACTGCCTCCTGGAACTCCAGCATCTTTTCATCTCACTCAGCTACAATCCCCTCTAGTTTTTGCTTTTTTAAAAAATATATATATATATATATATATATATATATATGTATATATATATATATATTTTTTTTTTAATTGATTTTAGAGAGGAAGGAAAAGAGAGAGAGAGATAGAAACATCAATGGATGAGAGAGAATCATTGATTAGCTGCCTCCTGCATGTCCCACACTGTGGATCTCGCCTCCTGTTTCATAGGATGATGCTCAGCCACTGAGCCACGCAGGTCCGGGCCCTGCTAGTTTTTACAGTAATGGAAACTTCTCTTCCTGGCACTGGAATCCTGGTCTCTGGGGCCTGGTGTGGGGCTGGGACCCCTCGCTCCTCAGGGGGGATCTCTGCAGCTGAGATCCCTTCCATTATCCACCAAACATGGGTTTGGGACTAGCCTGGTCTGCGTCTCCACCCCTCTTACTAGTCTCAAGTGGCTTCTTCTTTATATCCTTAGTTGTAGGACTTCCATTCTGCTCGATTTCAGGATGTTCTGAATTATGGTTAGTTGTAATTTTGATGTGGTGGTGGGAGGATGTAAATACCATATTTACCTATGCCTGCCATCTTGATCTGGAAGTCTGTGTTTTTTTGTTTGTTTGTTTTTAACAGTTTCTGTACCTGAATTTTTTTTCTCTCTTTTATTTGTATTTCTCTAACTTCTTAAGTTAGAATGAAGTGATTATATTAAATACTCATTTTATTAATGTAAAATATTTTCCCCACCTAAGGATGAATTAATATTATTTGTTTTTCATCACAGAAAAAAAATATCCTTATTATATCAACTAGAGAAGCCTGGTGCATAGATTCACACGTGGGTGGGGTCCAGCCTGCCTGCCCCAATTGGGGCCGATCAAGCGGGGCCAGCCAGAGGGGAGGGTACGTGGGTGGTTGGCGGGCTGGCCCCACCCCCTGGTTGGACTCCGGGTGGAACTCCTGGTGGAGGAGACAATTTGCATATTAGCCTTTTATTAGATAGGGTTATTATTGATATCTTGCTATTACTAATGGAATGTCATGGATTAGAACAGTGGTTCTCAACCTTCTGGCCCTTTAAATACAGTTCCTCATGTTGTGACCCAACCATAAAATTATTTTCGTTGGTACTTCATAACTGTACTATTGCTATTGTTATGAATACTAATGTAAATATCTGATATGCAGGATGGTCTTAGGCGACTCCTGTGAAAGGGTCGTTTGACCGCCAAAGGGGTCGCGACCCACAGGTTGAGAACCGCCAGATTAGACCATTTTATTTTATTTTTTAACGTATTTTTTTATTGATTTCAGAGAGGAAGGGAGAAGGAGAAAGAGATAGAAACATCAGTGATGAGAGAGAATCATTGATCAGCTGATTCCTGCACACCCCCTATTGTAGATTGAGCAACCCAGGCAACCTGGGCATGTGCCCTTGATTGGAATAGAACCTGGGACCCTTCAGTCTGCAGGCTGATGCTCTATCCACTGAGCCAAACTGGCTAGGGCTGGATTAGAACATTTTATATTAGTCTGAATATGGTAAATGATCTATGAAAAAATTGTTAAATGTAAGAAGATACTGTAGATTCTTTTTTTAAAAAAATATATTTTATTGATTTTTACAGAGAGGAAGGGAGAGAGAGAGTTAGAAACATCGATGGGAGAGAAACATCGATCAGTTGCCTCCTGCACATCTCCCACTGGGGACGTGCCCGCAACCCAGGTACATGCCCTTGACCGGAATCGAACCTGGGACCCCTCAGTCCGCAGGCCGACACTCTATCCACTGAGCCAAACCGGTTTCGGCTGTAGATTCTTATTAATCAACATATGGTTCATTGACTGACAGCATACTTGGGAGCGTATTCAAAATGTAGATTCTTAGGTTTCATGCCTGTCCTGAATCAGAATACACATGTGATTTGTATGCATGTTAACATTTGAGATTCACTACTATAGATTATAGGATTATTTAGTTACAAATTAAAATTGCAATTTTCTTATAGTTGTCTTTTGTATACTTAATGAAAATTTTCCAACTTGTGTTTTCAAAGGAATAATCACACTCTCTTTGGTGTTCTAAATTACACTAAGACTCCTGGAGGGAGTAGAAGACTTCGATCTAATATCTTAGAACCTCTAGTTGATATTGAAACCATTAACATGAGGTTAGATTGTGTTCAAGAACTACTTCAAGATGAGGAACTCTTCTTCGGACTTCAGTCAGGTAAATGAATATCCTCTAAGTTTATAAATAGAAATTATTAGAAAGATACATTATCTTCTTATAAGGACACCAGTCAGTTTAAGGCCCACACTAACGACTTTATCTTAACTTAATTACATCTGCAAAGATTTAATTTCTAAATAAGGTCACATTCACAGATATGGGGATTTAGGACTTTAAAATATCTTATTGAAGGGACACAATCTAACCCATAACATGAGGTAAGAGAATTGCCCATGGCACCTGGCTGTTTGTTCACCGGCAGGCAGTGCAATGTTCTTAAAAAATTGGTGGAAGGACATTTTATATACTTTGTTCCTAGTTCAGTTCCTGGTTTCTAGGAACTTGGTCTGTCTTTCATACCCCATTTTCCAGCCACCCTCCTGGTGTACTGGTAGTGTAAACAATTGGCACATGAAAATCTGGAAGGCATTTACAGCCTGAACAATTTTTCCTCATTCCAATTCCAAATACATTTTAATTTTACAGTTCCTTAAAAATTCTGGCATTATATTGTCTGTGACTGTGCACTTCCAATGTTGTTGAATATATTCACTTTTTCTATATATTCCAGTGTATTTAGTAAAACTTTGGGAAAGGTACAAAGAAGCCGTTTTTAACTGATAACCCTTTTCTTGTTCACAGCAACATCTTGTTGGCCTATCTATACCTGGCATTCCGTGTAATACATAAGTGCCAGGAATATTCAAGTCATTTAATCATGTAATGTTAGTCAATCTCCAATCATTTCTATGTTTCCTGTATTGTGACAGTTTATAATTTATTGTAACATGTAAAAAGTAGGGGAATATGAACATAGAGTAGGGTGGGAAAGTAATTTTTATAGTTTATTAAAATATGAGAATCTGAAACTTACTTTAAAAGCCCCAGTATTACTTTATTGTAGGTATTTTATAGGTATTAGGGATAAAAAGATAAGGAAGAGTAAGTTATAAGTTTCTGTTCACAAGGATTTAAGATGTTAGGGAAGCAGACCTCCAAATATGTGATACAGTGTGGTAAATGCAACCATAATTGAGTATTTTATGGGAACAGAGGAAGAAACTGGGATAATGACAGAATCCATATGGGATTCACAAAGACAATATTTCAGCTTGTCTTGAGGAAATGAGTAAGACTGACAACAGGAGGATCCTAGAAATGATATTCAAGACAAAGGGAGCATGCCTATGCAAGGTTTGTTAATGCACATGGGGTAACAGAAAATATGTTTAGATGTGGTAGCAGGGGTAAAGATCTGGTATGAGTCCTATTGGCTGTGATCTTAAATACTCATTACTTTTTAAGGTACACTTGTTTTTTGGGGAAGTTGGGTAAGGTAGAGTTATACTTACATTGATATAAAAGAGCTTGCTGTATTTAAGATATGGCCAGTACTTATTTATGACTTGAAGCATTGGGGAATAGCAGGAAATGAGTGCTGGAGCTAGCTTATGAAGGACCTTTATGTAATACTAAGACATTGGGATTTTATCATGCAGGACATAGGGAGCTGACAGTTCTAAACTGAGAGAGTAATACAAGCAAACTTTTATTTTAGAAACATTATTCTGGTTGTTGTGATAGATTTGGGGAAAGGAAGAAGGAAGAGACTGAAAAAGAGAAACGCCAATCTAAGGACTTTAAGAGTCTAGTGGAATCACATGTAAAATGTCATAATTGAACAGTATAAGAGTATTATAAGTAGTATACTGAGCCTATTTACTCTAATTTTTAAAAACAGTTCAAACATAATTAATTTACAGTAGAAGTGGTAAATTAGAAAAGGGCACAGTGCTAGAAATAGGCACACTGAAAATTATCAGAAGACTTAGTGATTTGAACAGGAAGCGAGTGGCATACAAAGGTGTTTTTTTTTTAGATATGTTTTTATTGATTTTTTTTTTTTTTTAGAGAAAGAGGAAGGGAGAGTGATAGAGAGATAGAAACTACAAACAACAACCTGGGGATATTAAAAAGAGATAGATTATAATTACCTATACATTTATTTTTATAGAATACAGTGGGGCCTTGACTTACGAGTGTCCCGACTAATGAGTTTTTCGAGATACGAGCAGTCTCTTGGCTGATTTTTTGCTTTGAATTGCGAGCTAAAATTCGGGTTATGAGCCAGCTTCAGATACCCCACCGCTAGTTGGCTCAGTGAACGTCACAGTGATTTGACATACGAGTAATTTGAATTACGAGCTCCGTCACTGAACGAATTAAACTCGTAAGTCAAGGCCCCACTGTACTTTAAACTGGAAAATGAGTTGGAAGAATAAAAACAGTTTTGAGCTGTGATATGTTCAGGATACTTTATACACATTATCTCACTTAATCCTCACAGCAACCCTAAGGAGGTAGATGTCATTATCCACATTTAAAAGATGGAAGTTAGGCCCTAACTGGTTTCGCCCAGTGGATAGAGTGTCAGCCTGCAGACTCAAGGGTCTCAAGTTAGATTCCAGTCAAGGGCATGTACCTTGGTTGCGGGCACATCCCCAGTAGGGGGTGTACAGGAGGCAGCTGATGGATGTTTCTCTCTCATCGATGTTTCTAACTCTCTATCCCTCTCCCTTCCTGTCTGTAAAAAATCAGTAAAATATATTTTTTTTTAAAAAAAAGATGGAAGTTAGGTAACTTCTGGAAGATTACATGATTAGTGTTCTAACTATGCTTTTAAACTAATCTTTTTAAGTATCAGAAAGAAAAGTTAGAGATCAGAAAGGTGGGAAGAAAATTATGAGAAGCAACATCTAAAAGTTAGAGAAGTAGAGTTTCAAGAATGAGGGGTGATTAACAGTGTCAAATTTGGAAGACAGATTGTGAATAATCAAAATTAAGAATTGACTATTATTTTATTCCTGGCACATGTAAGATAGATAAAGACGCCTAAAACAAGTAATATTTGTAGGTAGAATGGTTCTAGTTTATTATTTGAGGATACATAGTCTATATTTAAAAAGTTCAAATGCTCATTATTTTTTTGTTTCTGTTTGTTTTAGTTATAGCAAGATTTCTTGATACAGAGCAGCTTCTTTCTGTTTTAGTCCAAATTCCAAAGCAAGACACGGTATGTTTATATATACATTATAGGTTATATTATTATTATACATTGTGATAAAACTTGTCTTAATGTAATGTAACAATTGGACATTATTAAAATATTTTGGAAAAGTGCTTCATTATTAATATCAAAGTTTTTTAAGGCCTTTAAAAGCAAAAACTTCTGACTAAACTAAATGTCCTCTGAAAATCTCCAGTGTGGAATTGGCTTAAGATGAGTTATTGTATTTCCCCTTAAGGATATTGATTTTAGAAAATGCCGTTTTTTGATCATAAGTATTTAGTGAGAAGAATAATGCTTAAAATTTGTTATTTGAATTAACCCAAATGTTTTTTCTCCCTCCCTCCCTCCCTCCCTCCCTCCCTCCCTTCCTTCCTTTCTTTCTATATATTTTTATTGATTTCAGAGAGGAAGGAAGAGGGAGAGAGAAAAAGCATCAAAAATGAGAAAGAATCATTGATTGGCTGCCTCCTGCACGCCCCCCACTGGGATTGAGCCCACAACTCCCGCCATGTGCCCTTGACTGGAATAGAACCTGGGACCCTTCAGTCTGCAGGCTGACACTCTATCCCCTGAGCCAAACCGGCTAGGGCCCAAATGTCTTTTCTTCTATAAAATGTTTCTGACCATACTATTTTATTCTATTTATTTATTTTTTTCTTTTTTAAAAAATTTATTTTTATTGATTTCAGAGAAGAAGGAAGAGGGAGAGAGATAGCAACATCAGTGATGAGAGAGAATCACTGATCGCCTGCCTCCTGGGGACCGAGCCCTCAACCTGGGCATGTGCCCTTGACCGGAATCGAACCTGGGACCCTTCAGTCCACAGGCCGACGCTCTATCCATTGAACCAAACCGGCCAGGGCCAGGATAAGGTCATATTTCTTTATTGATTTCAGAGAGAAAGGGAGAAGGAGAGCGAGAAAGAAACATCAGTGATGAGAGAGAATCATTGATCGGCTGCCTCCTGCACTCCCCCTACTGGGTTCGAGCCCACAACCCGGGCATGTGTCCTTGGCCGGAATTGAACCTGGGACCTTTCAGTCTGTAGGCTGACGCTCTATCCACTGAGCTAAACCAGTTAGGGCTGACCATACTATTTAATGTATTAGAAGGTTTTGTGTTTTTCATTACAAACATCTAAAATTCTTTCTTTAATATTTGAAAATGTCAATATTAAACCAAAAATTTCAAGTTTTATCTAAGTTTCTTTGCTTCATTTTGAATAACTTAATTTTCTCAATTGATTTCAGACTGCCATATATGAATATTTGTAGTGTATGGTTCCTTTTTACGTTAATTCAACAAGTGATTTTATTTTACCAAACATTGTGATAAGTGCTAGGGATACTATAAGAAGTAAGTTTCTACACCAAAGGAATTAATGATCCAGTGTGAGACTTAGGTTAAAAAAAAAAAGGCAATTACAGCATAGTATATAAAGAACTATTAGACATCTGATATTTTACCATACTTGCAAACAAGTTAGCCTAACACAATTTCATAGATGCTGACAGAAGATATGAGAGTCCTGGGTCAGGAAGAAAGGTTGCTTGAGTACTTACAACTATAGCAGTAGCCAGAGTATCAGCATTTTCTTGCACTGTACACAAAGAAAACTGCACAAAACAAAATTCAGTGCTTACTGATTTATCACAAAGTGAATATCCATGTAATGAATACTCAGGTAAAGAGATAGATACTGCCATTACTTCAAAAATGCCCCTTCTTGCTCCTTCCCATCTTCTTTTCTACCTCTTTCAAAAATCCCCCAAATTTTCTTTATAATTTAATTTTGCCTATTTTAAAACTTTATATACTAGTATAATAACCCAATTTTTATTTTTTATATCTGGATTCTTTTAGTCAATATTATGTTTGTGAGATTTAATCATGTTGCATGTAGATATAGCTCATTTATTTCTATTGTGAAATAATATTTCATTGTATGAATATGCCATTACTCCTTTCACTGTTGTTTGACTTGTTGACAGTTTTTGGCAATTAGAAATAATGCTGGTAAACAATATGCACCTGTTTCTTAATACAATTGTTTACACACTTATTGGGTTCATAGTTAGGAGTGGAATTTTGGGGTTCTGGAGGATGTATATCTTCAACTTCAGGAAATAATGGCAAAATATCTGCCAAAATGTTTTTCACAATCATTGCACAATTTATATTCTCAGCAGTGTATGAGAATTCTCATTGTTCTTTATCAAAATGTGATATTGTCAGTTTAAAAATCTTAGGCATTGTGATTGGTAAATAATGGTATTTTATTGTGTTTTTTTTTAATTAAATCTTTATTGTTCAGATTATTACATTTGTTCCTCTTTTTTCCCCCCATAAGTCCCCTCCTCCCAGTTCCCGCCCCACTATCCGCCCTCACTCCCCACCCACTGTCCTCATCCATAGGTGCACGATTTTTGTCCAGTCTCTTCCCGCATCTCCCACACCCCTTTCCCCCCCAAGAATAGTCAGTCCATTCCCTTTCTATGTCCCTGATTCTATTATGATCACCAGATTATTTATTCACTTGATTCTTAGATTCACTTGTTGATAGATGCATGTTTGTTGTTCATAATTTGTATCTTTACCTTTTTCTTCTTCTTCCTCTTCTTAAAGGATACCTTTCAGCATTTCATATAATGCTAGTTTGGTGGTGATGAACTCCTTTAGCTTTCCTTATCTGTGAAGCTCTTTATCTGACCTTCAGTTCTGAATGATAGCTTTGCTGGATAAAGTAATCTTGGTTGTAGGTTCTTGGTATTCATCACTTTGAATATTTCTTGCCATTCCCTTATGGCCTGCAAAGTTTCTGTTGAGAAATCAGCTGACAGTCGTATGGGTACTCCCTTGTAGGTAACTGAGTTTCTTTCTCTTGCTGCTCTTAAGAGTCTCTCTTTGTCTTTTGCTCTTGGCATTTTAATTATGATGTGTCTTGGTGTGGTCCTCTTTGGATTCCTTTTGTTTGGGGTTCTCCGTGCTTCCTGGACTTGTAAGTCTATTTCTTTGACCAGGTAGGGGAAGTTTTCTGTCATTATTTCTTCAAATAGGTTTTCAATATCTTGCTCTCTCTCATCTTCTGGCACCCCTATAATTCTGATGTTGGTACACTTGAAGCTGTCCCAGAGGCTCCTTACACTATCTTCGTATTTTCGGATTCTTTTTTCATTTTCCTTTTCCGGTTGGGTGTTTTTTGCTTCTTCACATTTCGAATCTTTGCCTTGATTCTTGTGGTCCTCTGGTCTGCTGTTGGGAGTCTGTATAATATTCGTTATTTCAGTCCGTATATGTTTAATTTCTAGTTGGTTCTTTATCATAACATTGAGGGTCTCGTTAGATTTGTTGAGGATCTCAATAACTTTATCGGCGGCTTCTAGACAGTTCTTGAGAGACCTTAAAAGTGTGGTTCTGAACTGAATATCCTCCATTGACAGTTTTGTCCTGTTTCTTTGTCTCCGCATTTTTTATGCTTTCTTGGTGCACCCCCTAGTGGTCTTTGTGCACAGTCTTGTTGTAGTTAAGCCTTGATTGTTGTAGTTAATACTAGGGGGATTTGACCTCCAGGCCAGCTGGCTGTGAGAATCAGCTGTGTCTGCAATGGGAAAACTTCTGTCCTCTAGGGAGGTGCTAATCTAGCCTTTGCCTGAGGCTATCTGGCAAATGGCTCTGCGCAGGGCTTGGGCGGGGCGGGTGGGTCTCTCAGGCTTGGGATCAACAGGGTGGGCCGGAGAGAGCAGTTATGGTGGCTCTCAGTTCCGTCCCTAGGGGCTCTGCCTCACAGAGTCCCAGAAACCGCTGCAAACCTCGGAGAGAAAGCTGCCTTCGAGTTCCGACTGAAGCCAGACAGTCCCGCTTCTCCTGTTTGAGTCTGGGTCCCTGGAGACTCGCCCAGATCTGGAGCTCAGAATCTGAGACTCCCTCCCGATTGAAAGCACCAACCGCGCCCTCCGCTGCCAGCCCGCTCTGCGTGCACTCCGTACCTGAGTATTTCACTTCAGCACTGCGCCTTCTCTGAGTCTGGGTATGATATTCTCTTTCCTCCTAGTTGTAGAATTTCCACTCAGCCAGCCTTCCTGTGGTTCTGGATGATGTCCGTTCTGTCTTTTAGGTGTATTTTGATTTGGTTGTTCAAGGCAGCAATCTCCGGCGTTAACCTATGCCGCCATCTTGGTTCTCTCCTTTATTGTGGTTTTAATTTACATTTTCCTATTACTGAAGATGAATACCCTTTAATATATATACAGACAACTTGAATAATTACTTTTGTGAAAGTCTTGTTCAAGTCTCTTGCTCATTTTCCTCTTCTTCATTATCTTCTTTTGTGACTTGTAGAATTTCTTTTTATATTTTAGATATGAGCCCTTTATTGGTTCTTTGTTTCAGATATCTTTTCCCACTTTTTAGTTTGCTTTTCCCACTCAATATTGTGGTATAGATGCTGTTGGTGTACTACCCACATCCCCTTGGCATTCACTTTTGTACAAGGAAGGCTTCTTATGCAAGTAGCTGAAACTTACTGCCTGAGGACTTTCTCTGGCTGCAGGAGAGAATAGAGTTTGCTCTGGCAATAGGTCATAACCAATACTGAACAGGAGTAGATGAGTAAATATTCCACTTTTCTTACCTGTGGAGATAGCTTCCAAAGCTTACCTTATACCATCTTTGACAGGTCTGAGCCATAGTACCATGCAGCAGTAACCGGATCATCAAGGCATCCTCTTGTGCTGTCCTCCCCTTCCCTTCTTACTTCTGCTTACTGAAATTACTTTTCAAATACATTATTTGCCTCAAATTCTAGTTTCTCAAACTTGGCTTTTGGAGACCCGGTCCTGTGTCAGTAGTATCTTTTTTTTTTTTTTTTTTTTTTAAATATATTTTATTGATTTTTTACAGAGAGGAAGGGAGAGAGATAGAGAGTCAGAAACATCAATGAGAGAGAATCATCGATCAGCTGCCTCCTGCACATCTCCCACCGGGGATATGCCCGCAACCCAGATACACGCCCCTGACCGGAATCGAACCCGGGACCTCTCAGTCCGCAGGCCGACGCTCCATCCACTGAGCCAAACCGGTTTCGGCCAGTAGTATCTTTTGATGAATAGAAGTTCTTAATTTAAATGTAGTCTAGTTTGTGTTTTTTCCTTGGTAGTTAGTGTTTATTGTATCCTGCTTAAGAAATTTTTATCTAACCCAATGTTTTGATTGCACCCATTGGATTTTAACTTATGGAGGTGACTGAGTGATGATATGGTGAGGCTGTCATTAAAAGAAGATTTTTATTACTTGGTATTCCTGAGAAGAGGGAGCATACCACACAAGATCACATGGGAAAGTATTAGGGTTGGTCAGGAGTCAAAAGGAGTGAGGGGAAAACATTGCAAAAATCTTTATTATAATGGAAAGTTGTTAGGTGGAAACATCCCCTATTGGGTAGGATGCAAAACACAAATGTTGGAGTTTGTGGTTGGAGGGCTTATAATATGATTTTTGTGCATCCATAAGAGCCACGACCATAGGGGAGATGTGAACAACTTTGGCCATTGTTAGGCCTTGTGATGAATGTATGCCAAGTCATTAATTATGAAATTTATAAAAACTGATTCGAACAAACAGGAAATGAAGATATTCTTCTTTGTTATATTCCTGATGTTTATTGCTTTTTTTTAATATTTAGATTTACAATCTGCCTGGAATTGATTTTTGCTTTTGGCATTTTAATTATGATGTGTCTTGGTGTGGCCCTCTTTGGATTCCTTTTGTTTGGGGTTCTCTGCGCTTCCTGGAGTTGTAAGTCTATTTCTTTCACCAGGTAGGGGAAGTTTTCTGTCATTATTTCTTCAAATAGGTTTTCAATATCTTGCTCTCTCTCATCTTCTGGCACCCCTATAATTCTGATGTTGGTACACTTGAAGCTGTCCCAGAGGCTCCTTATACTATCTTTGTATTTTCGGATTCTTTTTTCATTTTGCTTTTCCGGTTGGGTGTTTTTTGCTTCTTCGCATTTCAGATCTTTGCCTTATTCTTGTGGTCCTCTGGTCTGCTGTTGGGAGTCTGTATAATATTCTTTATTTTAGTCAGTGTATGCTTAATTTCTAGTTGGTTCTTTATCACAACATCGAGGGTCTCAGATTTCTTGCAGATCTCATTAAGTTTATCGGCAGTTTCTAGATTATTGAAAGACCTTAAAATGTGGTTCTGAATTCTATATCCTCCATCGACATTTGTGTCCTGTTTCTTTGTCTCCGCATTTTTTATGCTTTCTTGGTGCACCCCCTAGTGGTCTTTGTGCGCAGTCTTGCTGTAGTTAAGCCTTGATTGTTGTAGGAAATACTGTGGGTGATTTGACCTCCAGGCCAACTGGCTGTGAGAATCAGCTGTGTCTGCAGTGGGAGAACTTTTGTCCTCTAGGGAGGTGCTATTCTAGCCCTTGCCTGAGGCTATCCGGCAAATGGCTCTGTGCAGGGCTTGGGCGGGGCGGGTCCCAGGGGATCAACAGGGCAGGCTGAGCGAGCAGTTATGGCTGCTCTCAGTCCCGTTCCCAGAGGCTCTGCCTCTCAGAGTCCCAGCAACCGCTGCAAACCTCGGAGAGAAAGCTGCCCTCGAGTTCCAACCGATGCCAGACAGTCTCGCTTCTCCCATTTGAGTCTGGGTCCCTAGAGACTCGCCCAGAACTGGAGCTCAGAGCCTGAGACTCCCTCCCGATTGAAACAGACAACCGCACCCTCAGCCACCAGCCCACTCAGCGCGCACCTCCACACCTTTGTATTTTCCGCACTGCGCCTCCTCTGAGTCTCGGTATGCTGTTCTCTTTCCTTCTAGTAGAAGAATTTCCCCTCAGCCAGCCTTCCTGTGGTTCTGGGTGATGTCCCTTCCGTCTTTTAGTTGTATTTTTGAAGTGGTTGTGTGAGGCAGCAATCTCCAGTGTTTACCTATGCCGCCATCTTGGTTCCTCCCAATAAAAATATCTGGAATTGATTTTTGTATGTGGTATGAGGAAGGGACCACATTTCATTTTTCCTCCCATAGATTCATAATTATATTGACACCATTTATGGAAAAGACTGTCCTTTTTCCCACCTTTGTCATAAATCTAGTACTCAAAATTTATTGGGTCTATTTCTAGTCTCTATTTGTTTCATTGGTCTCTGTCTGTCCTTAGGCCTATACCACAGTTTCTTAGTTACTCTATTAGAAATTGATTTTTGTTAGATTTCTTTTACCTTGTTCTTATACAAGGGTGTTTTGGCTATTTTTGGAAGATGTTTTCCTTTGGTAATAGTAATAATAGTTGTCTTCTGTTTGATGAATTTTATTTATTTTTAATCTTCCAGTTAGTTTCAGAGATCCATTATAAGAGAGCATGAGATAACTTGTTTTAGGGTTACAAACCTACATTTTTGTATTTCTTTTAAAAGAAATGACCCATCTGATGACAGAACAGTTCAGGTACATTGCGTGTACAATAGGGATAAAAGTCAGAAGGTTTCAAAAAGAAACAGTTCCATATTAATTACTACTATATCTCAATAGTAATATCCCTAAAGTTCTTGTCAGATTGGTAAAGTAGTCCATCCTTGAGAACTTTTTTATTTCCCCAGGTATAGTACCATTTTAGAGATTGTACTATTATTTAATTTATAAAATGTTTATTTATAAAATTTAGGATGCTGGTGTTGCTTTATTTTGAAAACTGTAAGTCCTTTGGACCACTGGAATTATGAAAATTATTTTATTTGAACAAACAGGAACCAATAAGGGAAATTGGTGTTGTTTTGTAATTATCTGGGTTGTTTGGATTCAGTTTTTCAAATATCTTCTATCCAGAAATAATCTTTTTACCTTTTTCAATTAATCCTTTTGCTCAGAATTGAACTGTTATTTCCTATCACTACTATGAGTTAAGGTAGATCAAGTAGCTTTAATAGAAATGAAAATTGGGTACAATGATGTGAACTCTTTTTCATTTTCAGACTTTCAGGAGACTAGTGTGCTAGTCTTACTATAATGGATCAGTAATTTCCTAACAGTATTTAGGCTGGCAGGTACCTTGGCTTGATTGACATATAAAAAGTATATGAAATAAGATAAGCATAGAATGTTTAGAGGAAAACACATTTTTTTTGAAAAGCACATTTTGTATTAAGTGTTTACGGTATCCACATTTGGATTTTTATTTTAATAGGTTAATGCAGCTGAATCAAAGATAACAAATTTAATATACCTAAAACATACCTTGGAACTTGTGGATCCTTTAAAGGTAATTTATGTGTGTGTGTATTGTACAAAACATGTCTAGTAATCCATATTTTTAAATTTTTTGTTTTGCAGAAATTTCAAACTCAGAGAAAATCACAAAATAGTATAACTAATTCCCATATTCTCTATCTTTACATGCACAATACATACGCATATTATTACTATTATTATTTTTTTAAATTCCAGATGTTTCTTTTGTCTCTTTTTTATGTTTTAATTTTAATTTTTTTATTTTTATTGATTTCAGAGAGGAAGGGAGAGGGAGAGGGAGTTAGAAACAACGATGAGAGAGAATCATTGATCGGCTGCTTCTTGCATGCCTCCTACTTGGGATGGAGCCTTTAACCCAGGCATGTGCCCTTGATTGGAATTGAACCTGGGACCCTTCAGTCCGCAGGCTGACGCTCTCCACTGAGCCAAAACAGCTAGGGCAGCGGTTCTCAACCTATGGGTTGTGACCCCTTTGGGGGTTGAACGACCCTTTCACAGGGGTCACCTAAGACCATCAAAAAACACATATGTAATTACATATTGTTTTTGTGATTAATCACTATGCTTTAATTATGTTCAATTTGTAACAATGAAATTGGGGGTCACCACAACATGAGGAACTGTATTAAAGGTCGCGGCATTAGGAAGGTTGAGAACCACTGGGCTAAGGCCTTACTATTATTATTTTTACTGAACTATTTGAGAATAAGTTATAGTACCTAAATACTAAAGTGTATATCTCCTAAGAGCAAATATGTTCCTTTACCCAAACACATATGATTATAAAATTCAGGATATGTAGCATTAATAGACTACTGTTATATAATCTATAGCCCATATTCAAAATTTTCCAGTTGTCCTAATAATGTTCTTTATGGATTCCATCCTCCACTCTCCCCCCCAGTTACAGGGTCTAGTTCAGGACCGTGCATTATATTTAATGTCAGGATTTTATATACTCCTTTGAATTGAAAAGTTTCTCAGCATTTCTTTGTTATGATATTGACATTTTGAAGCGTAAAGGTCAGTTGTTTTATAGGATATTCTTCAATTTGTCTGATTATTTATTCATGGTTAAATTCAGCTTATGCATATTTGGCAGTAATATTCTGTAAAAATGTATATTTCTCATGTTGATGCCATTTCCCTATTTTTCTTTTTAAAGTTATAAGTAATGTATGAAGAAATACTTTGAGACTGTGTAAATATCCTTTTTCTCATCAGACTTTCACTCATTGATTTTGGTATTTATTGCAACTCTTTTTTTTTTTTAATCCTCACCTGAGGTAATTTTTCTATTGATTTTTAGAAAGAGTGGAAGGAAGGGAGAGAGACAGAGAGAGAAACATCAATGTGAGAGAGATACATCAATTGGTTGCCTCCTGCATGCACCTCACCCAGGGATCCAGCCTGCAAAGGAGGTACATGCCCTTGACTGGAATCAAACTGGGGACCCTTTAGTCTGCAGGCCGGCGTTCTAGCCACTGAGCCAAACTCTTAGCTGAAGTAATTGCTACTCTGTTGGTCACAAAATGGTGATTTTCTTATCAATTTTTAAATACTATCTTGTGCAAAATATTTTAAAAATGAAAGTGGCAGAAAGAACTTTTTTAAAAGAAAAAATAATGAAAAATAAGGAACAATTTTTATAGAGTTTATTCTGGTAAATATGTAATAAAAGCAATTTGGCAAAAGATTTCAAAGTCATTGTCATCTTTCTTCGGATGAAAGTGGTATAGTAATAAATCTTCTCCCCAAATTGACAGATTTGATTCAACAAATTTCAAATTTTGATATTTCAAAGGCAAAGTAAAAGCCAAAGAACCTCAGGAAAAATTTATAGCAAAGGAAAGACAAAATACTAATTTCTGTCATCATAAAAGTTATGTAATTTTTAAAGAAAATACTGGAATGACAGTGGAAATAAGGAAAATGACTCCAAAATGGAAATCAAAGTGCAACTTACTGCTACTGAGAGAACAGTGAGACGGGAAACTCCATAGCTGGCAGGAATAAAAATTGAACATATTTTACAGGAAATTTTTGAAACATATATTTTTTGATCCTGTAATACCACATCTAGAAATCTGTCTGAAATAACTTAAAAAATGTTGACCAAGATTTATGCCTAGTGATGGTAATTGCAGCATTATTTATATTAGAAATTATAAGTAGCCTAGAACTCCAATAATTAGGGGAAGAGACAACTTGCTTCCTTCAGGGTGGAATACATATTAGGAATTATTTAAAATTGTTGCTATAAAAGTTTTTTAATGCTTATGCTATAGTATTAAGTGGAGGAGAAAAGGAACATGCAATGAATTTTTTTTAAAGAAGTGACAGGAAATGTACCATAATATTTAGATTATTTATCTTTGGAAGGGTGGTAGAATTAAGAGTGATTTAAATGTTTTTCTTTATGTTTTTCTGAGTTTTTTAGTTTTTATTAGTGTATAAGTATTACATTTTATTCATAAACAAAAAATATTGCCATTGCCTCATAGCACTTAAACTGTTTTGTTTATTCAAGTAATGAAACTTATAGTAACCATTGAGCAAAATAAAATCCATACTTTTACCATATAAGAATGGAGAAATTGCTCTATTTTTTAATATACAGAGCACTTTTTTAGTTTAATGTAAATATAATGCAAATTGTGGAATTTTATGTAGAGTACTCCAAATGTATAATGATAGCTGCTTAAGTACTTATCTCTGATAAGTAGTGGGTATTAACAGTTAGTTGGGAGACAAGAAAAATAAGTCGTAATAATGAAGCAATGGAGGCCACTTATTGGCCCTGTGCTCTTAATATGGAAAATGAGAAAGATACCATTTGTCCTCACCTACATATCTAAAATATGTTTTATGAGTATGTAAGTGAGGAGATGAAGCAAGAAAGCACTTGGTAAGCTGTAAAGTATTGAACAAATGTAAAATGCTGTGTGAATAATGTCATACTTCATTATCCTTAACTATCTTTATTTTATTCTCTAATAGATTGCTCTGAAGAACTGTAATACACCTTTATTAAGAGCTTACTATGGTTCCTTGGAAGATAAGAGGTCTTTGTCACTCAACTGTTAATCAAATATCAGATTATCCCTTTCTTCCTGATCGTCACTGATTTTTAAGAACTCTAATTATATTTTGTAGAATAATTACTTGAGCTTTAGTTAATAGATCCTTTTAAACTATTCTTCAAAATTGTAACTATACATTTTATCTTGTAAATACCAATAAGTAGGGCAACATCATATTGAGTATTTGTGTTAATGGACAATTAGAATAGCATTAAAAATCATACACAATTTTAATATATCTTTTTAGCCATTCTCTTATGGAAAGTCTTACAAATATAAGCATGTATTTTCTCTTTTGTTAAATTGTGAAGGGCCTAATATAACCAAAAATAATAGACATGAATACTGAATAAGATCTAAATACAATTTAATTTTAATATTGTTTATAGCAGTAGCACCTTGGCTCTTGACCAAAATGACTTTATACTTAAAAACTGTTATTTCATTGATTTAAGATTCAGATCTTATGTAAGCCTACAAATTGGGGTTCATAATAAAACTGAATTACAAATAGAATACAGAACAGAATAAACAAAACGTTAGACTTCAGGTTTGCATAATCACTGTATTTAATCACTTGTATACTGTTTCACAATATATGTTCAGTCTCCCTTTCCCCCATTAAGTGTGAGGACCATATGTTAATCCTTCTTTGAATCTCTGCATCTAACAGAGTGCTTAATACATGGTATAAGTAAATGTTTATTGAATCAATGAACATGAAACCAGAAATTTTTTAACAGTTGTTCCAGGGTACATTTTATATTCATGGGCACAGTCAGTATGTATAATTTGGGAGATCTGTTTACTAGCAGTTGTAGAATCGCTCTTGGTGGCCTCATATTATTTTCAGAATCTAGTCCAACAAAGTAGTTTAAAATTGACATAGTCAAAGTTCTAACTTATGTAAATTTAAATATATATTGCTTAATCGTTATTTTCAACAGTGATTTAAGATAATATGATATTTGTTATCATTAACTATGACTCAAATTATGAATTATAATTGTTTTACTTATTGCCTGTAATATTCTTTTTTTAGGTTTGGAATCATACTTGAAAAGATTAAAACAGTAATTAATGATGATGCAAGGTACATGAAAGGATGCCTGAACATGAGGACTCAAAAGTGCTATGCAGTGAGGTCTAATATAAATGAATTTCTGGACATAGCTAGAAGAACATATACAGAGATTGTAGATGACATAGCAGGTAATTTAATTGAGCATATTTTTTTGTTTTTTAGAAAGAAAACAAACTTTTAGACATGCTGTGCTTTTTTGTTGGTGATAACCTGCTCTGAATACTTTTTATTTTTTTGTTATCAAACAGGTAATATTAACACATATTACCACTTAAGGAATATTTAAAAAAATAAAGATTACAAAGTGTTAATAATATGTCTATTTTTTTTCTCCAAAGTTAAATATAGAAGTACCTTTATAGAACATAGAAACTGCATAAAAAATGCAGGCTATCAGTATTAAAGGGTTTCAGTGGAGGAAGAGATATAATTTTTATCTAGAAGAGGATGCATTTGAGCCAGTATAGTAATTTAACAAATATAGGGGTGAGCAAAAGTTGATTTACAGTTGTGAATACATAAAACAGAAACATTCTTGTACAGAAACATGTGCATGAGAGGGGCACATCAATTGTCTAACACTGGCCAGGGCTGGAATATTTTGTTTTGTAAAATATGTTTTATAGAGGGTATTTCTTATTGTGAAGTAGTTATTGCAATAATTTATGTGTTCTCTTTTTTAAAAAAAAATAGAATGAATCAAAAACTAATATTCCTAAAGGACTTGTATGCATGCATATAAGCATAATCAATGGACACAGACACCAAGGGTGTGAGGGCATGAACGGGAGTGGGGTGGGGGGGACAATGGGGGAATAAGAACGTATATAATAGCTTAATCAATAAAAAAGAGCTTGGAAGGTGGCTGCTGACGGGAAGGCAGGCTGCAAGATAGTGTGTGAGTGAAAGAACGGAAGGAGAGAGTGTGGACGTGTGGGGAGTGTCTATTAGGGACAGCTATATTCCAAGGGACTGTTGGGGTCTGCCTGACTGGGTTCCCTTGACCAGGCAGCCCCTACTGCTGCTGAAATCTCTCCCGGAGCAGCCGCCTCTGCCACAGAGACTGCGCCATCTTGAAGGCGAGAGTGGCTGTGATCAGACGCCTAGCCTTATCTTCAACCGGGAAGAACTCGGATACCTCCCAGGACCCTACAACCACGTTACCCAGGGACCAGCTACGAACCCAGGAACACCAGGTCTCAAGCAGTGTGAATAAGCGGATGCGGACGAGCCCTGCACCTTCTCACGGAAGGTCAAATATCACCTAGAGAAAGGTGAGGTGTGCGATCCAGGCTGGAGGGAGAAACGCAAGCAGCGGTATCCAGGGTTCAAAGGAAGTCTGCGCCCCACAAAATCAGTGGCAGTTGGGGTCAGCATAGCCCACGAATGTGGAAGGGGGTCCACAGGACTCCTGGCAGAAGGGAACTCTAGAAATCAACCCATAGCTGGGCTGGGCACAGAAAGACAGCCTGAAGTTCTACCAGTATACTGGCTGTGCAGTGCCAAGGAAAAAGGATGTGCTCAGAGACGCGCGCAATGCTGGGAGAAAACGTCGCGAGTCCACTGTCTCTGGCTTTTTTTTCTCTTTAAATCCTTGCTTTTGATTCCTAAACCCAGTACATAGGATCTCCCAATTAAAAACACTCTCAGACTGCAGGGAAAAGTTGTTTTTGTGGAACCTGGGGATCAGAGCGGGGAGAAATGATCAGAAAACCAGTCTGGGGCAGTCCATTCCCCCAACCCAGTATTAAGTGCAGCAGGGAAAACAAAAACTAAATACTGGATAGAGAGGACTTCTGGCCCTGGATGTCAATACAGAAACACTGCCACCCAGGGGTTGAATCACAAATTGACTCTTGTGTAAATACAACTAAAGGCAGGCTGAGAAACAAATACCGCCTGCTTGAAAACAGGATTGTGGCTTACGACACAGAGGAGCTCAATAATGGGAACTCAATAATGTCCTGACTACCTTACAGGAAACAGGCATGCCAAACAGAACAGTAGAGGAAGTGAATGACCTTCACATTTTTATTTTTTATCTTTTACTTAAGAAAGTAAATTTTTCTTTTTTTCTCAATTGATTTTACCTTTTTAATGATTATATTTTTATTTTTAAATAGTATTATTACTACTATTATCCTACCTTTTATTAAGTTTCATTTTATTTTTTCTTTATTTTATTTACTTTATTTTGGGATTAGTGTCCTACATTCTATTTTCATTTTTCCTTTAGCATCATTGTACTCTATCTCAACTTTACCTTTATGCCAACACTCTTACTCACTTTTCCCCTTTTGTTGTCCTGTTTCTCTTACCTTATTCCTGCTTTAGATTTTCCCTATTCTTTCTTTTACCCCCTGTCAAAAATTCATCCTAATTATATATCTAATTTCCACTCCCCTGCTCCAAGTACATATACACTTCTCTCTTCTCTTTCTTCACTATCCAATTCTTTTTCTCTCTTCCCTTATTTTTTCTTTTCTGTTTTTTTTTGTTTTATTTTGCTGTATTTTTCTCTTCTTTCTCTCTGACCTATTGTTGTTGTTTGTTTTCATAGTTGATTAGTTTACTTTTTTTGTTTGTGTGATTGTTTCTTTTTTTTTATTTTGCTTCTGTTTTTTCTCTTCTCGCTTGTTATTAGTTATTGTTTGTAGTTTGCATTCATCTCTGGGTGTTGTTCGCATTTTTTTAAATTAGTTGTTTTATTGGAGTTTTCTCCCCACATAGTTTTTTCCCCCTTCTTTTTTTATTCTCTTTCTTTTCTCTCTTGCTTTTTTCCATTTCTCAATATCATTTTTACACTCTTTTTTTTTTATCCCCTAATTCTCTTTTCTCTGGTGGTCACCTTTATTTGGGGTTATTAGTATCATGAATACATTTGTGTTCAGTGCCTTGTGCATTGTGCCTGGTTGTGTTGTATTTTGTGCCTTTAAGTCAACACAGAAGAGAGAGAGCTACATAACCAGACACCCAGAGAGGAGAGATCATGGGGAGACAAAAAAACAGCCCACATAAGAAAGAAAAGGAGGCATCACCAGAAAAGGAAGTAAGTGAAATGGAGGCAAGCAATATGTCAGAGAAAGAATTAAGAGAAATGGTCAAAAGGTCACTGAAAAGGTTGGAAGACAAATTCAACAATATATGTAAGAACCAAGAGGAAATGAAGAAGAACCAAGAAGAAATGAAAAATGACATTACTGCAATAAAGAACTCAATAGAAAGTATCAACAGTAGACTAGAAGAAGCAGAGGACCACATCAGTGAGCTAGAAGGCAAGGTAGGAAAAAATACCCAAGCAGAGCAGCATCTAGAAAAAAAACTCAAAAAACAGGAGGAGCGCCTAAGGCAACCGTGGGCAAACTACGGCCCGCGGGCCGGATCCGGCCCGTTCGGCTGTTCTATCTGGCCCGTGGAGCCGAAAGAGCGGAGGGTTCTCTTGCTCTCCCCTCCGCTCCTTCACCAGCAGCAGTGTTAACATGGCAACGTCGGGAAACACGGCCGCAGCTCCTTCTTCTGAGTCCAGTTTAAGAACCCATTGTGGCCCTCAAGTCAAAAAGTTTGCCCACCCCTGGCCTAAGGGAACTTTGGAACAACATGAAACGAAACAATGTTTGCATAATAGGGATGCCAGAAGGAGAGGAAACTGAGCAAGGAATAGAAAACCTGTTTGAAGAAATAATGACAGAAAACTTCCCTGATATCGAGAAGAAAAAACTGACACCAGTCCAAGAAGCTCACAGAGTCCCAAACAAAATGAACCCCAAAAGACCAAAGCCAAGGCACATTATAATTAAATTGGCAAACACCAACGACAAAGTAAGAATCTAAAAAGTGGCCAGAGAGAGACAGAAAGTTACCTACAAAGGATCCCCCATCAGACTAGTGATTGATTTCTCAACAGAAACACACCAAGCCAGAAGGCAATGGAATGAAATATACAAAGTCATGCAAAGGAATGGTCTGAATCCAAGAATACTCTACCCAGCAAGGCTATCAATCACAATTGAGGGTGAAATCAGGAGCTTCACAGACTAAAAAGGATTAAGGGAGTTTATTACCACCAAACCAGCAATGCAATAAATGCTAAAGGGTCTGCTGTAAAAAGAACAAATAGGAAGGGGAGAAGGGACACAGGCATAAAGAATAAAAATGGCAACAAACAAGTACCTATCAATAATAACTTTAAATGTAAATGGATTAAATGCCCCAATAAAAAGACATAGGGTAGCTGAGTGGATAAGAAACCATGATCCATATATCTGCTCTCTACCGGAAACCCACCTCAGAACAAAGGACTCACACAGACTGATAGTGAAGGGATGGAAAAGGTTTTTCAGGTGAATGGAAATGAAAAAATAGCTGGGGTAGTATTTCTTATATCCGACAAATTAGACCTCAAAGTGAAGGCCATAACAAGAGATAGGGAAGGCCACTTCATAATACTAAAGGGAGCAATTCAACAAGAAGACATAACTCTGGGAAACATATATGCACCCCATACAGGAGCACCCAAATACATAAAAAAACTTCTGGAGGATATCAAGGGAGAGATTGACAGCAATACAGTCATAGTAGGGGATGTTAATACCCCACTAACACCATTGGACAAATCCTCTAAACAAGAAATCAGCAGAGAAATATCAATTCTAAATGACTCACTAGATCAGATGGAATTAATTGACATCTTCAGAGCATTTTACCCCAAAGCAACAGAATATGCATTCTTCTCAAGTGCACATGGGTCATTTTCAAAGATAGGCCATATATTGGGACACAGGCAAATTCAAGAAGATAGAAATCATACCAAGCATCTTCTCAGATCACAATGGCATAAAACTAGAAATCAACTATAATAATAATAAAAAAAAATCAAACACCTGGAGGCTGAATAGCATGCTATTAAACAATGATTAGTTTACCAAAGAAATCAAAGAAGAAATAAAAAGCATCATGGTAACAAATGACAATGAAAATGCAACAATTCAAAATCTATGGTTCACAGTGAAAGCAGTCTTGAGAGGGAAGTTCATAGGTGTACAGGCCTACCTCAAAAAATAAGAAACAATGGCAATACACTATCTAACCCTACAACTCAAAGAGTTAGAAAGAGAGCAAAAAGAAAAGCCCAGCGTAAGCAGAAAGAAGGGAATAATAAAAAATGACATAGAGACCAAAAAAACAATACAACAGATCAACAAAGCCAAGAGCTGCTTCTTTGAAAGGATAAACAAGATTGATGAACCTCTAGCCAGGCTCACCAAGAAGCAAAGAGAGAGGACCCAAATAAACAAAATCAGAAATGAAAGAGGTGAAGTAACAACTGATCACATAGAAATACAAACGATTATGAAAAAATACTATGAACAACTCTATTCCAACAAAATGGACAACCTAGATGAAATGGACATATTATTAGAAAAATACAAGCTCCCAAAACTCAACCAAGAAGAATAAAAAAACCTGAATAGGCTGATAACTACCAAAAAAATTGAAACAGCGATCAAAAATCTTCCAGCAAACAAAAGCCCTGGTCTGGACGGCTTTATAGAGGAGTTCTACCAAGCATTCAAAGAAGAATTAAAACTTGTCCTCCTCATACTATTCCAAAAAATTCAAGAGGAAGGCAGACTTCTAATCTTTTTCTATGAAGCCAGCATTACCCTAATCCCAAAACCAGATAAAAGCACCACAAAAAAAGAGAACTACAGGCCAATATCCTTGATGAATATGGATGCTAAAATCCTCAACAAAATTCTAGGAAATCAGATTCAGCAATATATTAGAAAGATCATACACTATGACCAACTGGGATTTATTCCAGGGATGCAAGGATGGTACAATATCCACAAATCAATAAATGGGATACATCACATAAACAAACTGAGAGACAAAAATCACATAATCATATCAATGGATGCAGAAAAAACATTTGACAAAATCCAACACCCTTTCTTGATAAAAACTCTCAGCAAAATGGGAATAGAGGGATCATACCTCAACATAATAAAAGCCTTATATGACAAGTCTACAGTCAACATCATACTCAGTGGGCAAAAACTAGAACCATTTCCCCTAAGAACAGGAACAAGACAGGGATGACTACTCTCACCATTCCTGTTTGATATAGTTCTGGAAATGCTAGCCATAGCTATCAGACAAGAATAAGAACTAAAAGGCATCCAAATTGGAAAAGAAGTAAAACTGTTCTTATTCACAGGTGACATGATACTATACATAGAAAACCCCAAAGACTCCATGGAAAAACTACTGGACCTAATAAATGAATTTGGCAATGTAGCAGAATATAAAATTAACACCCAGAAATCTATGGCCTTTTTATATGCCAATAATGAACTCACAGAAAGAGAAATGAAAAAAATAATCCCATTTACCATTGCACCAAAAAAATTAAGATACCTAGGAATAAATTTAACTAAGGATGTAAAAGACCTGTACTTGGAAAACTATAGGACATTGAAAAAAAAGATAGAGGAAAACATAAACAAATGGAAGAAAATACCATGTTTATGGGTTGTTAGAATCAACATCATTAAAATGTCCATACTACCTAAAGCAATCTATAGATTCAATGAACTACCTATTAAAAAACAATGGCATATTTCAAAGGTCTAGAACAAACTCTCCCAAAATTCGTCTGGAATTAAAAAAGACCCTCAATAGCCACAGCCATTCTGAGAAAGAAGAACAAAGTTGGAGGGATCGTAATACCACAAATCAAGCTATATTACCAAGCCATGATTCTCAAAAATGCCTGATACTGGCACAAGAACAGACATATAGACCAATGGAACAGAATAGAGAACCCAGAAATTGACCCAAGCCATTATACTCAATTAATATTCGACAAAGGAGGCAAGAGCATACAATGGAGTCAAAACAGCCTCTTTAATAAATGGAGCTGGGAAATTTTGGCAGATACATGCAAAAAAATGAAACTAGATCACCAACTTACACCATATATAAAAAACAAACTCAGAATGGCTAAAGGACTTGCATGTAAGATGGGAAACCATAAAAATCCTACAAGACTCCATAGGCAGCAAAATTGCAGACATATGTCATAGCAATATCTGTATAGACCCAGATCCTAGGGCAAGAGAGACTAAGAAGAAAATAAACAAATGGGACCACATCAAAATAAAAAGCTTCTGCACAGCAAAAGAAACTATCAACAAAACAACAAGAAAGCCCACTGCATGGGAGAACATATTTGTCAATGTTATCTCCGATAAGGGTTTAATCTCCAACATTTACAGAGAACTCATATAGCTGAACAAAGAGAAGATAAACAATCCAATCAAAAAATGGGCAAAGAACCTAAATAGACACTGTTCAAAAGAGGACATTCAGAAAGCCAAGAGACATATGAAACAATGCTCAAAGTCATTAATAATCCGAGAGATGCAAATCAAAACAGTGAGGTACCACCTCATACCTGTTAGAATGGCTATCATCAACAAATCAACAAATGACAACTGCTGGAGAGGATGTGGAGAAAAAGGAATGCTTCTTCACTGCTGGTAGGAATGCAGACTGGTGCAGCCATTGTGGAAAAACAGTTTGGTATTTCCTCAAAAATTTAAAAATAGAACTGCCATTTAACCCAATAATACCACTTCTAGGAATATGTCCCAAGAAAACAGAAACACCAATCAGAAAGGGTATATGCACCCCTATGTTCATAGCAGCACAATTTACAATAGCTAAGATTTAGAAACAGCCTAAATGCCCATCAGCAGATGAGTGGATTAGAAAACTGTGGCACATCTACACAATGGTTTACTACACTGCTATTAGAAGAAGGAATTCTTACCATTTGCAACAGCATGGATGGAACTGGAGAGCATTATGCTAAGTAAAATAATCCAGTTAGTGGAAGAAAATTATCACATGATCTCACTCATTTATGGATAATAACATTATAACCTGATGAACAAAAATATAGTTACAAAGGCAGAGAAGCATCGAACAGACTGTCAAATTACAGTGGGAAGGCCGGGAGGATTTGGGGGGAGGTAAGAGATCAACTGAAGGACTTGCATGCATGCATATAAGCATAACCAATGGACGCAAGACACTGGTACAGTGGGGTGAGGGCAAGTGCTGGGGGAGGGGAGGTTGGGAAAAGGTCAATGGGGAAAAAAGGGAGACATATGTACTACTATTTGTAATACTTTAAACAATAATATAAATAAACCCCTAATATTCCTAATACAGAGAACATAAAATAGTCTTAATTTAATTTAATTTTTACAATTCTTTTACTTTCAAAATACCAATCAAATGACCAGCTTTGCTCTACAATTTTAAAAAAAGAATACTTAACCAGATATTTTAGACATTAAAAGTCTTTAGAGTTTAAAAGTATAACAAGACCTTCCTATTTATATGTAAAATAAAAAGTGGATGTGGTATTTTTAAACAGAAAAAGTAATTTCTCATTAAAATTTATTTTGTTTTTATTTTTTTCTGGTCACTAGGAATGATATCGCAGCTAGCAGAAAAATATAGTCTTCCTTTAAGGACAAGTTTTAGCTCTGCTAGAGGATTTTTCATTCAGATGACTGTAGATTGTGCAGCCCTACCCAATGATCAACTTCCTTCAGAGTTTATTAAGGTACGCTCTAGAGCTTGGTTAGATTATTGTTTCTGACTTTTCAGGATTACGTTTACATATTTTCAGGCACTTCGTGAGTTTTACATGCCAAATTTACTAATGTTCTGTATATTGCCTCTCCTATTCCTACCTACCCATCTAATAGCTATAGTAATTTAAGAGTGATTTATGAGCATTTTTTTTTAAAAGAGAAATACCAAGCAGTGCTTCCCACAGTTCTGGGAGCTTGGTAAAAAAGGAAAATGAAGAAAGATAGTCCAAAAGATATTTTTGATCAAAGAAATTTAGAAAATACTATACTGTCTCATTTTAGGTAGTTCTGTAGTGCACATTTGCCTATTAAAGTTTTAAAAGGACTGAAGTAGAGAAATATACTTAATTTGTTTTAATCTAATATTGCCAAACTTTTGGACCAGGGAAATATTTTTTTCTATATACGTATTAACTCCTCCATAATATACCACTTTGGGAACATCTAACCTACTCTAGTCTTCGCTTTTCTGCTCCAAGGGAGTCCCTTTTGACAAAAACAAACCATTTAAATTTCAGGGCTTTAAAATATATACTGTATTACCAAGTAATGTGGATGGATGAAGTAAAGAATGGATTGAGACTTGGTAATGGGATTAGAGATTGACGTTCAGTTATGGGGCAAGGCCTAAAATAGGCATCAGAATCGGAGTGAGGACTACTAATATGTGTCCTGCATATTACTTGATATTAAGACTTTAAAATAAGCATTTCTAGACAGTTGTTTTAAGACTTATTAAAAAAAAGTCAGGTCAATGGACTAAGTTAAAAAATTCTGTTTTAACCTTAGATGTGATCTTTTCTCATTCACAAACATTATTTGGTACTTTCTCTGAGAAACTAACTGAAAAATTAAAATGACTAACCTAAATATCTGTATTTTTATTGTTTAAGATTTGTATGCTTTATTTCATAGGAGTGTACATCTATATTGACTTTTGTTCTTTAATTTCCTGACAGATCTCTAAAGTGAAAAATTCTTATAGCTTTACATCAGCAGATTTAATTAAAATGAATGAAAGATGCCAAGAGTCTTTGAGAGAAATCTATCATATGACTTATATGTAAGAGCATTTGAAATTTTTGAGTATTGAATTGAATTGCTTTCATTTGAGTCACTATAGTAAATTTCATTAATTTACTTTTTATCTGATTGCAAAATAAATGGTAAAGAAAGAACATTTTCTGGACAAACAAATTTTGTTACTGTGATCGGGATTAGTGAGTCTCACAGAAGCCTTAGGGCAAATCTGATTGCCAGATAACCTTATTACTACTGATACTCCACCATTATATAGAATTTGGCACATCCTGGCCTTATTTGGGGTTTTATTCAGTTTACTCTTTTCCTATGTTATATAACTTCCACTTTGCATGCTTTACTACTTATACAGCAACATCACAGAAGTGTCAGTCTCTTGCTTTTCATGAAACAATAGCAGTTTAGCTAGAAATAAGAAATAGGATGTTTAGAATTGGTGAGCTGAGATGATAAAGAGAATATTGGGCTTTCCAAACAATTTCAGGGCAGAGACCACAGAGATTACATGATGCAGTATATTCTGGGAATATATTTTTCCTTGTAAGGAAAAAACTTTTATATTATGTCACAATTATGTTAACTCTACCACATAAAAGCTTAAATAATTATGCTGTTAAGGTGTATGTGTGTGTGTGAAAGAGAATATATGGGTGAGAGAAAATACATGACAGGTTTTGCAGAGAATTTAACATACACAAAAATCAAAATTATTAGCAGATAGGATATGTTGAAATATAGTGAACACTTAACCTATATAAAATATTTTTATTAATAAAAGTTTATTTCATTAAGATTTAATAAAAAGCAGTCATTTTAAAAACATGGTGCTCACACACAAGAAGATGGTTTCTTTGCTACTAAGTAGCTATGACCTTGAGCATGAGCTTCAATTTCCTCATGTCTATAATGAGAAAGACTTATCTTTAGTGTATAACTCAAATGTGAATGTTATTTTACCTGAGGCAATGAATTTAATATTGTTTTACAATTTCATAGTATGCCCCTCTTTAAAAAGAATGACTTATCTTACCAAATGTGTACTTTCAGGATAGTGTGCAAACTGCTTAGTGAAATTTATGAACATATTCATTGTTTATATAAATTGTCTGACACTGTGTCAATGCTGGATATGCTACTGTCATTTGCTCATGCCTGCACTCTTTCTGACTATGGTAAGTTATTTTCTTTGGAATAAGTACGTTGCATACTGAAATTTCTGTTCCATTCAAGCAATTTTATATAACAACTAGAGGCCCAATGCGCGAAATTTGTGCAAGAGTAGGCCTTCCTTCCCCCGGCTGCCACCACCAGCTTCTCTCTGGCATCTGGGACCCAGGTTTCCCTCGCATCCCTGGCTTTGTCCAGAAGGTTGTCGGTCTAATTAGCATATTATGCTTTTATTATAGATTATGAACATTTTGCATTTTTACCTGAAATATAGTCTCTTGCTGATGGTCCTAGACTCGCTCAAAACAGAGCAAACGAAATTGCCCTTAAAATTTCTTTTAAAAGTAAGAAATTATTTACTGAGAAATTGACAAATCAGAAAGAAAAAAGTGCAAGAAATTTTAAAGGTTCCCTAAATAAGAAAGACTTCAGAGCTGTTTCCTTGGTGAAAATGATAATGACCCAAATTTATAAAGTTCCAATTTGAAGACTCATTAAAAGCAGACTGACTAATACTAATAGACATGAGAGAAATGACTCTCCAAAGTGAGCATTTTCTAAACTAGCTCCTTAGATGTGAGCTTCCCAGGATCAGGAATTATATCATTTATTTTTGTATAGGCCTTGAATATAAATGTTAAGTAATTTTCTAATGTTAAATGAATACTTGAAATTTCTTATTTAATTCACCAGCAATAACCATACTCCCATATACAAGTTTTCAGAACTAGTATGTGATAATTAAGGTTGAATAATTATGGACTTAACAACATTAATAACAAATTTTTTTCCTATAATTAGCAGTAACATTCCCAAAATGTTATGCTTATTTATTTCTATGATGAGAAATAAATATCTTATAAATATTTTTTCATATTTCCATACTTTTATGGAAATATTAACTTTTTTAATAGTTATTTTATAGGCCCACATTTTTTAATCTTTTTATTTCCTTTTGGGTCAAGATTAGCTGTATTTCCTTAGGGATCAGCTAATCTTTATAGTAGTTTTCTTAACTGTTAAGATACTTGATGCTGCTTCATTTTAATTTGAGAGGGACCATCTTGAATAATGAATTTTTGGTGTAAAAAAATATTTTGAAATAATTAAAAATATTTTTTCGAACCAACTTCACTGAATACTTTTAAGTTTATCCCTGCGGTTCATCTAGAGCAGCGGTTCTCAACCTGTGGGTCGCGACCCCTTTGGGGGTTGAACGACCCTTTCACAGGGGTCGCCTAAGACCATCGGAAAACATATAATTACATATTGTTTTTGTAATTAATCACTATGCTTTAATTATGTTCAATTTGTAACAATAAAAATACATCCTGCATATCAGATATTTACATTACGATTCATAACAGTAGCAAAATTATAGTTATGAAGTAGCAACGAAAATAATTTTATGGTTGGGGGTCACCACAACATGAGGAACTGTATTAAAGGGTCGCGGCATTAGGAAGGTTGAGAACCACTGATCTAGAGGAATGTAACATTTTATATCTCTCTGACCTTCTTCCTTCTCCCTTTACCACAAAAAGTTTCTATAAATTAACATATTTTGTGTATGTTTTCTTTAGCCTTTGAGATTTCATTTTAGATACAATTTTTATAAGGGTTTAGACATAAAATTATTTTTATATTTGGTTTTACTCTATATTTATACCTCATTTGAAAAGCTAAGTATGCCAGATTTGAAATAATGCTTACGGTGGGGATTTAGTAATGTACAATTTTGTAGTACCAGTAATTGATTGTTATTTTAAAACTACTATCTGACTAGTTGATTCTTCTTAATATATACAAATCTGAAAATGTCATGAACTCTTTTGGAGCCCAGGATGACAGGAAACTAAATCCTAGAGCTCCCTGGAAGTGAGTAAAAGTGATGGTGTTTAGAGTGTGTCAGTTATAATTTAGATGGATATATATATTTGGAATAAAATAATACCTTACTGTTCAGAATTGACCCTAGTAAAATCTGTAAGGTGTCATAATATATGCTTATCACATAATTTTAAAATATAAATATAGACTATTCTTTCAAAAACTATTCTATTTTTTTTCTTTAGTTCGGCCAGAGTTTACTGATACTTTAGCAATCAAACAAGGATGGCATCCCATTCTTGAAAGAATATCTGTGGAAAAACCTGTTGCCAACAATACCTATATTACAGAAGGGAGTAATTTTTTGATAGTTACTGGACCAAATATGAGTGGGAAATCCACATATTTAAAACAGATTGCACTTTGTCAGATCATGGCCCAGATTGGTAAGTTATGTCTTACTTTATAATTACCATTTCTTCTTCCCATTTTCAATATTTTGTGCCTGATATTTTAGATCCAGGTGCCTAATTAACCCAAGAACAGTTTGGAGTAGACTTTCTTACCTAAAAGATTATGTAGTAGTGCCCATTATGTAGACCATAACTTTTAGGATTTGGTATTTATTAAAGTTCATCCAGTTTTGGATTGGATTATACTAAAAATTTTGTGGAATATAACAGAAGACTTCCTTATTATAACTATTCATGTTGAATCAATTATTAATAAAATGAATAATCTAATTATTAAAAACAAACTTTGTTGTGAGAAAATGTAAAATAAGTAGGATAAGCTACTGCCTTTAATAACCCATATAAGATTTTTACAAAGTTTTAACATTGGTCAGATAAGCATTTCCCTTATTTAATTTAAGGGGTACCAATTGCTTGTCCACAACAATTGATATATTACACGTGTACACACATGCATATAAATGGCTGTCACTGGCCCAACATTGTCACATATTTCTTGGTATAGAGACACAGCTTTCCTTTAGTCTCTGAAAACTGGGTTTCCTTGAGATTATATGAGTCAGAGATAGATGACTGGTTCTCAACCAGGGGTGATTTGGTTTCCCTTCCTCCTGTTATTTGGCAATATCTGGAGACATTTTTTGTTTCACAACTGAGGGGACTGTAGAGTCCAGGGATGCTGCTAAACATCCTACAATGCACAGGACATCTTCCCTCCCCACATCCCCTCCACAAACACAAGAAAGATTTATCCAGCCCAAGATGTTAGTAGGTGCTGTGGTTGAGAAAACCTGGTCTAAAGTAATAATTATAAGGGCAATACAGCAATAATAATATTGATGATGCAGTGCAAATTTACCCTTACTGAGAAAGAAAATTGGAGATGAATGAATGAGGTAATGGTAAATATTTTATTGAGTTTATGATTTTAGTGGAATTAAAAGAACATCTTAACCAACTTCCCTTTCCTTATAAGAATACAGATTCATATGTAACATCACCCTACTTGTGTTTGAATAGTTATGAGAAGCTCCGTCCTTTAAAAAACAGACTATTCAATTGGACAACATTAATTGTTAGAGCATTAATTATATTGAATTAAAATTTGACTTACTATGGCTTCTACTCATTGGTCCTAATTCTTATCTTCTATGCATCACAGAATAGTCTTTCCTAATAATAACTAATCAAATATTTGAAGAAAATTATTGTACTTCTCTTATCACTGTCTATCTTAAACCTCTGAAATACCTAAAATGTATGTATGTGAGTGTATGTGTATATATATGTGTATACACACACATACACACACACACACACACACACACATACACTAGAGGCCTGGTGCACAAAAATTTGTGCACTCGGGTTTCCCTCAGTCCGGCCTTTGCCCTCTTGCAGTCTGGGACCCCTTGGAGGATGTCCACCTGCTGGCTTGGGCCCGCTCCCTGTGGATCGGGCCCAAGCTGACAGTCAGACATCCCTCTGCCAGCCTGGCAGCCCTCAGGGGATGTCCACTTACCAGCGGGGAGCAGACCTAAGCTGCAGTCAGACATCCTTAGCGCTGTTGAGGAGGCGGGAGAGACTCCCGCCAATACCGCTGTGCTGGCAGCCATCAGCCTGGCTTGTGGCTGAGCAGAGCTCCCCGTGTGGGAGTGCACTGACCACCAGGGAACAGCTCTTGCATTGAGCATCTGCCCTCTGGTGGTCATAGTGACCAGTCATTCCCAGTCGTTCTGCTGTTAGGGTCAATTTGCATATTACCTTTTATTATATAGGATAGAGGCCTGGTGCACGGATGGGGGCCGGCTGGTTTGCCCTGAAGGGTGTCCCGGATCAGGGTGGGGGTCCCGCTGGGGTGCCTGGCCAGCCTGGGTGAGGGGCTGATGGCTGTTTGCAGGCTGGCCAAGCCCCCCGGCGGCGGAAGCTCCCAGCCTCTCCTTTTTTTCTTTCTTTCTTTTTTTTTTTATTCTGGGATTTATTTACCTTCTATAATTGAAACTTTGTAGCCTTGAGTGGAGCTCAGAGCTGGGTAGGGCAGGCGGGAAGCTTGGCTTCCTCCATCGCCAAGGGCAACCCAAGCCTCCTGCTTGCTCCAGCTCCATGGCCACAGCTGGCTGAAAGCAGGTATCTGGGGTTTATTTATCTTCTATAATTGAAACTTTGTTGCCTTGAGTGGAGCTCAGAGCCGGCCGTGGCAGGCGGGAAGCTTGGCTTCCTGCTCGCTCCAGCTTCGTGGTTGGGTTAATTTGCATGTAGTTGCTCTCATTAGCTGGTGGGCGTGGCTTAAGGCATAGTGAAGGTATGGTCAATTTGCATGTTTGTCTTTTTTTAGTGTGTGTGTGTGTGTGTGTGTGTGTGTGTGTGTGTATATATATACATATATATATGTATAAAATCTCATATGATCCAATAATAAAGAAACAGTAGGACTTGGAATGCATGGAAGTGAAGAACATAGGCTTTGGAACTATACTTAGCTTATCAAGTTACTTAGTTATGTGATCTTAGACAAATTACTTAACCTCCTTAGTTTTCCTGTCTGTAAATGAAAATTATAATAATACTTCTGAAAATAGTTGTAAAGATTGATAATGGGTATACAGTGATATGGATTCAAGGAAGGAGAAAGAAGGAGACTTTTCAGGCAGAGGTAAAGAACATGTTATTAAGCATAGAAGCAAAAAATAAAAATAAAAATTAGCATGGTATTCCCAGGGAACTGTAAGGAGTCCAAAGCCTTTGTAGTTCCTTTGCTTTGTAGCAGGGAATAAAACTGGAAAGATATACAGGAAGGAGTCAGATCATGAGGGCCTTAGGAACTTAACTGAGGAGATTGAACTTTATCCAGAAATCTGTAGGGAGCTGTTGAAATTTAAGCAAGAGAATGGCATGATTGGATTTAACTTTTAGATGGATGACTCTGGTTGATGTATGATTAGATGAAAGCCAGACCAGAAGCAAAATATCAGCCAGGAGGTTTCTGTAATAATTTAGATTAAAAATATTGGGAGCCTTTTTGGTGGTGATAAGAGAGAGGAGAAAGTATAAACATACATCAAATATGCTGTATTCTGTATTTGGCACTTTCACATTTATTTTCCCATTTAATCCTTTTGATAATCCTATGAATTATGTTTAAGAAATCTGCTCTCTGAGGTACAATCATTGTAATTACTGTTGTTATTATTAACTAAAGGCCCTGTGCATGAAATTCATGCATGGGGCGGGGGGGTGTCTCTCAGCTGGACCTGCACTCTCTCCAATCTGGGATCCCTCGGGGGATGTCCAACTACCAGTTAGACATCCCTCTCACAATTGGGGACCTCTGGCTCCTAACTGCTCACCTGCCTGCCTGCCTGCCCTAACCACTCTGCCTGCCTGCCTGATCCCCCTAACTGCCCTCCCCTGCCGGCCTGATCACCCCTATTAACTTTTTTTTTTTAATCTTATCCCCTTCACACACAATTGTTTTTGACTTCCTTTTTGGCTTCTCCCTCTCACACAATTTTTCTCTCTCCCTTTTTTTTTTTTTAATTAAATCTTTATTGTTCAGATTATTACATTTGTTCCTCTTTTTTTTTCCCCCCATAACTCCCCTCCTCCCAGTTCCAGCCCCACCCTCCACCCTCACTCCCCACCCACTGTCCTCATCCATAGGTGCACGATTTTTGTCCAGTCTCTTCCCGCATCTCCCACACCCCTTTCCCCCCCAGGAATAGTCAGTCCATTCCCTTTCTATGTCCCTGATTCTATTATAATCAACAGTTCATTCTGTTCATCAGATTATTTATTCACTTGATTCTTAGATTCACTTGTTGATAGATGCATATTTGTTGTTCATAATTTGTATCTTTACCTTTTTCTTCCTCTTCCTCTTCTTAAAGGATACCTTTCAGCATTTCATATAATCCTGGTTTGGTGGTGATGAACTCCTTTAGCTTTTCCTTATCTGTGAAGCTCTTTATCTGACCTTCAATTCTGAATGATAGCTTTGCTGGATAAAGTAATCTTGGTTGTAGGTTGTTGGTATTCATCACTTTGAATATTTCTTGCCACTCCCCTCTGGCCTGCAAAGTTTCTGTTGAGAAATCAGCTGACAGTCGTATGGGTATTCCCTTGTAGGTAACTGAGTTTCTTTCTCTTGCTGTTTTTAAGATTCTCTCTTTATCTTTTGCTCTTGGCATTTTAATTATGATGTGTCTTGGTGTGGTCCTCTTTGGATTCCTTTTGTTTGGGGTTCTCCGCGCTTCTTGGACCTGTAAGTCCATTTCTTTCACCAGGTGGGGGAAGTTTTCTGTCATTATTTCTTCAAATAGGTTTTCAATATCTTGCTCTCTCTCATCTTCTGGCACCCCTATAATTCTGATGTTGGTACGCTTGAAGCTGTCCCAGAGGCTCCTTACACTATGCTCGCATTTTTGGATTCTTTTTTCATTTTGCTTTTCCGGTTGGGTGTTTTTTGCTTCCTCGCATTTCAAATCATTGACTTGATTCTTGCGCTCCTCTGGTCTGCTGTTGGGAGTCTGTATAATATTCGTTATTTCAGTCCGTGTATGCTTAATTTCTAGTTGGTTCCCCAATATAAGATCGAGGGTCTTATTAGTTTTCTTGTAGATCTCATTAAGTTTATCGGCGGCTTCTAAACATTTCTTGAGAGACCTTAAAAGTGTGGTTCTGAACTCTATATCTTCCATTGACAATTTTGTCCTATTTCTTTGTCTCCGCATTTTGTTATGCTTCCTTGGCGCACCCCCTAGTGGTCTTTGTTCGCAGTCTTATAGTTAAATCTTGATTGTTGTAGCTAATTCCAGGGAGGGTTTGACCTCCAGGCCAAGTGGCTATGAGAATCAGCTGTGTCAGCAGTGAGAGAACTTCTGTCCTCTAGGGAGGTGCTAATCTAGCCTTTGCCTGAGGCTATCCGGCAAAAGCCTCTGTGCAGGGCTTGGGCAGGGCGGGTCGCACAGGATCAACAGGGTGGGCCGGAGAGAGCAGTTATGGCGGCTCTCAGTCCTGTCCCCAGGGGCTCTGCCTCTCTGAGTCCCAGCACCCGCTGCAAAGCTCAGAGAGAAAGCTGCACTCGCTCTGACCGAAGCCAGACAGTCCCGCTTCTCCCGTTTGAGTCTGGGTCCCTAAAGACTCGCCCGTATCTGGAGCTCAGAGTCTGCGACTCCCTCCCGATTGAAAACGCCAACCGCGCCCTCCACCGCCAGCCCGCTCCGCGCACTCCGCACCTCAGAATTTGACTTCAGCACTGCGCCTCCTCTGAGTGTCCGTGTGCGTTTCTCTTTCCTCCTAGTTGTAGGACTTCCACTCAGCCAGCGTTCCTGTGGTTCTGGGTGATGTCCCTTCCGTTTTTTGGTTTCACTTTTGAAGTAGTTGTTCAAAGCAGCAAACTCCGGCGTTAACCTATGCCGCCATCTTGGTTCTCCTCTTTCTCTCTCCTTTATGTAACACTTTTTCCTACTGACTCATCATTTATAAACTTTTCTTTCTTCCTTATTTCCTACTTCTGTTCCATTATCCTTCTTCCCATCTTTCTTTTACCCTCCCTCCCTCCCCACATTCCTTCTTTCCTTTATCTTTACCCCCCCTACCTCCCCCTTTCCTTCCTTCCCACCTTAATGTTTTTCTTCACTTCCTCCCTCAGACCTGCTTTGCTCCGTCTCCCATTTCTTCCTTCTTCCCATTCTCCTTTTAAGGTCTACTGACTCCCCTTTAAAACTTTTCTTCCCTGCCTCTTTCTCTCTCATCCTACTTTTCCCATATGTTCTTCTCTACTTACTTCCACTGTTTTAATATCTATCTATCTATCTATCTATCTATCTATCTATCTATCTATCTACCTACCTAATTATTCACTATCATTTATCTTTTTTCTTCTCTGACTCCTACTTTTAAAATCTGTCCCTAGTACACAACTATACTTGATTTTCATTATACCTCCTACAGTTCACTCATACATCCTCTTTCCTTCTTTAACTCTGCTCTCTCCTGACTCCTTTATAAAGTTCTTCCCTCCCTCCTTCCTTTCTTAAAGTTTCCGTTGGGGGGGGTGTTAGCCCCCAGCCCAGGGCTCAGCCCCAGCCAGGTGTTTGCCGCTCCCCCTTCCCGGCCTCCCCACCGCCGTCTTGCTCCCATTCCCTGCCTGGGATGCCTGGCCCAGTGAGGGTGGCCAAGGCCCTCATGGCCCGGGCGCTGCTGCTGCCGGGAAGCAGGGGCGCCTCTGCCCAGAAGTCCTCAGACCATCCACCACTCCATCCTGGACCTGTGGGTGCCTCTGCACTGGGGGACACAGCCTGCCCACCCCCCACCCCCCCCCGCCCAAGGTCACCACCTCCTCCTGCGTGCAGCCCCACATTTCCTTTCCTTTTCCATTTCTGCATCTTTTTTTGGTTCCCTTTCTGTATTTCTGTTTCTCCTCTTGCCAGTCTGCATGCAGACCTGCCTTCCTCTCCCTCTCCTTTCTTATCCCCTCCTGTCTATCCTAGCCTACCCCAGGCCTTGCAGCTGCCTGAGCAGAGGGCGGGGATGCAGCCTGCAGATCCAATCATGATGTGAAGCTGTAATGGATAATTTGCACATTTCTCTATTATTAGTATAGTAATAGTAGAAGTAGTATCCTGACTTTTGCCTTCTTTTCCTACTACTTTTTATTTCTCGGAGGTAGATCCTATTCTCCATCCTTACCTTTGTTTTAAATCCTTAACTAATACTAGTATAGCTGTGTTTTTATTTACTCCCATTATTTCACCATTTTGTCTATGTAGAATTCTGTATACTTGATACTTTTCCCATTCAACTCTTTGTATGTTTTTATCTTATGATTTCAGAATGTATTTTATATGCCATTTCATAGTGAAGTAGTTGTATTAATCAGAATTGTTTTCAAAAGATGAACATTTTAGATTAGTTACCCTGATCACTTCTCAGGCAGAAATCATCTCGTAAATGAATATTCAACTTTTAAAAGAAGTATTTTGCTTTCATTCTGATTGTGTGTATTTCTGTACACTTTTATTAACAGATATTTAAAAATATATTTTTCTATAATGATTTTATTAACTTTAGCTTTATAAGCATTTTCCTCAAATTTTCATACTTTGAATGTTCTTTATCATCTATTATTTAAAAATTTTATCACTTTTATAACAAACCTTTCTAATGTACTTGAGTATACACTATTTTATTTAAACTTCCAAATAACTTTGGACAATAGGTAGGGCAAATATTCTATTTTATATATGAAAAAGACTGGGAGAATTTAAGTGCTGTCCAAGGTTATACAATAAATAACATAGCTGGGACCATGTTTTCTAACTCCGTATCCAGGGGTTTTTTCACCACATAATTCTTAGGTAGGCTAGTAAATAACCTGAGGTGATGGAAAGTACAAAATGTTAGTACTTATATTTTACAAAAATATTTCTGTTTATTTTTATCTTATATTTTACAGGATCATATGTTCCAGCAGAATATTCTTCCTTTAGAATTGCTGAACAGATTTTTACAAGAATCAGTACTGATGATGATATAGAAACAAATTCATCAACTTTTATGAAGGAAATGAAAGAGGTACCCAAACTAAACTTTTCTTATGTTAAAAAAATTGAATTCTGCTGCTAATAGTCAATGATCATGTAAGAAAGTATTCTTAAACTAAAACATGCAGATGTGCTTATACTACCCTGCAAGAGCCAGAGGGCAGTCAAAGACAACTTCCTAATTTCTGTCTTATGTGGAAATGGAAATTAATGTTTAATAATAAAATACAGTTTTAAAAAAAAAAAGCTAGTGTTATTGAATGATAAAAACGTGCATTCATGTTTTGGTATGGGAGATATGAATTACTTGTTCAGGAACAATTTGCTTAGTATCTATTCCTCTTAGGTTTAGTTTTAAAATAAAAGATCACTGTGTTTAAAAATCATCCTATATTCTGTGCTCTTATAGAATTTTCACTTCCTGTAAAAAAGTATGTATCATCACCTATTTCTTTTTTTTAAAAATTATTTTAGCCAACTTTTATTTATATCAAAGTGCTATCGTTGAATAGCATAAATCATCAAATATTGCTAAAAGTAATTTTTACAAAACAGCAGCCCCTTCTGTTCACCTTCCTACCCCCATTATCCACCAAGCAACCAACTTTAATTTTATTAGCTACTTTCTTGGATTTTACTTTAAGTTAAATTAAATCTTTATTTTTCAGATTATTACAGTTGTTCCTCTGTTCCCCCCCCCCCCCGATAGCTCCCCTCCACCTGGTTCCCCTCCCACCGTCTGCCCTCCCCCCTCCCCCATGGTCCTCCTTCATAGGTGCATGATTTTTGTCCAGTCTCTTCCTGCATCCCCCACACCCCTTTCCCTCCCAAGAATAGTCAGTCCACTCCCTTTCAATGCCCCTGATTCTATTATAATCACCAGTTTATTCTGTTCATCAGATTATTTATTCACTTAATTTTCAGATTCGCTTGTTGATAGATGTGTATTTGTTGTTCATAATTTGTATCTTTACCTTTTTCTTCTTCTTCCTCTTCTTAAAGAATACTTTTCAGCATTTCATTATAATACTGGTTTGGTGGTGATGAACCCCTGTAGCTTTTCCTTATCTGTGAAGCTCTTTATCTGACCTTCAATTCTGAATGATAACTTTGCTGGATAAAGTAATCTTGGTTGTAGGTTCTTGCTATTCATCACTTTGAATATTTCTTGCCACTCCCTTCTGGCCTTCAAGGTTTCTGTTGAGAAATCAGCTGACAGTCGTATGGGTATTCACTTGTAGGTAATTGACTGTTTTTCTCTTGCTGCTTTTAAGATTCTCTCTTTGTCTTTTGCTCTTGTCATTTTAATTATGATGTGTCTTGGTGTGGTCCTCTTTGGATTCCTTTTGTTTGGGGTTCTCTGCGCTTCCTGGACTTGTAAGTCTATTTCTTTGACCAGGTAGGGGAAGTTTTCTGTCATTATTTCTTCAAATAGGTTTTCAATATCTTGCCCTCTCTCTTCTTCTGGCACCCCCATAATTCAGATGTTGGTACGCTTGAAGCTGTCCCAGGGGCTCCTTACACTATCTTTGTATTTTTGGATTCTTTTTTCATTTTGCTTTTCCGGTTGGGTGTTTTTTGCTTCTTCGTATTTCAAATATTTGCCTTGATTCTTGCGATCCTCTGGTCTGCTGTTGGGAGTCTGTATAATATTCTTTATTTCAGTAAGTGTATACTTAATTTCTAGTTGGTCCTTTATCACAACATCAAGGGTCTCACTAGATTTCTTGAGGGTCTCATTAAGTTTATTGGCGGTTTCTAGAAAATTCTTGAAAAACCTTAAAAGTGTGTTTTTGAACTCTATATCCAGTAGTTTGCTTTCCTCCATTTCTGTCATTTGTGTCCTGTTTCTTTGTCTCGGCATTTTTTATGCTTCGCTGTGTCGATAGAGTGGCTTTCTGTGCTAAGTGTCTTATAGGGCCCAGTGGCTCAGCCTCCCCAATTACCTGAGGTAGACACTCTTGGTGCACCCCCTTGTGGGCTTTGTGCACAGTCTTGTTGTAGTTAAGCCTTGATTGTTGTAGGTAACACTGGGAGGGATTGACCTCCAGGCCAATTGGCTGTGAGAATCAGCTGTTTCTGCAGTTGGAGAACTGGCTTCTGGATCTCTAAGGAGGTGCTAATCTAGCTTCTGCCTGAGGCTACTCGTCAGAAGCCAGCTGTGAAGCAAGTTGCCCTGGGGCCTTGGGCCAGCTGCAGTTTGTTAAGTAATTTTCAGATTACAAAGGGCTGGGCCTTTCATATGCAAAAGCCTCAGTACATGGCTTGGGCGGGGCGGGGTCCCAGGGGATCAACAGGGTGGAGCGAGCAGTTATGGCTGCTCTCAGTCCTGCCCTCAAGGGTCCCCGGCAATCGCTGTGAGCACCTCTGAGAGAAAGCTGCCCTCGAGTTCCGACCGATGCCAGTCAGTTTCTCCTGTATGAGTCTGGGTCCCCAGAGACTTGCCCGGAACTGGAGCTCAGAGCTTGAGACTCCGTCCCAATTGAAAAAGACAACCGGGTCCTCAGCTGCCAGCCCTCTCCTCATGCACCTCCACACCTTTATATTTTACTTCCCCACCACACCTCCTCTGAGTCTTGGTATGCTTTTCTCTTTCCTTCTAGTTTTAGAATTTCCACTCAGCCAGCCTTCCTGTGGTTCTGGATGATGTCTGTTCTGTCTTTTAGTTGTATTTTTGAATTTGTTGTGGGAGGTAGCAATTTCCGGTGTTTACCTATGCCGCCATCTTGGTTTCTCTCACCTATTTCTTATCTGAGAAAATCTCAAGTAGGCTTGAAGGGCTAAAGCAGTGGTTGTCAACCTTGGCTGCACATTAGAATCACCTGGGAATCTTTTTAAAATCCTGATTTCTGGGCCTCATCCTCTGGAAATTCTGTTTCTTTGTTACTAATGTTGTGGCCCCACCCCATAACAAAGAAACAGAATTTCTGGAAGATGAGGCCCAGAAATCAGGATTGTAAAAAGATTCCCAGGTGATTCTAATGTGCAGCCAAGGTTGACAACCACTGGGCTAAAGGAATGCAGTATAGCTCTTGGCCTACTTTTAATAGTTAGGAATTATTTAATCACTATACAGTTGGCTAATTTTCTGTAGACATATAATTATTGAATATCTATGGGGTAATATAGCAATGTATTAGGTGCTCCAAGTTACATTTTTATTATTTATTTATTTTTTAATGGAATACATCACTTCTTAGTTATTTTTAAATATATTCTTATTGATTTCAGAGAGGAAGAGAGAGATAGAAACATCAATGATGAGAGCGAATCATTGATCGGCTGCTTCCTGCACACCCCACACTGGGAGTGGAGCCCACATCCTGGGCATGTGCCCTGACCAGGATTCAAACTGTGACCTCCTGATTCATAGGTCAATGCTCAACTACTGAGCCTCACCAGGTGGGCTCTAGTTATAATTTTAAATAGTTCTAGCTCTCAAGAAGCTTAGTACTATAGCAAGGTAAAATGGCCATGAAGGTTACTATTGTGCTATTACATAACAAAGGTGGTATTCTGTTTTTTGAGAAGGAAGTTAATAATCTTCAGTGGAGAAGGAACATATTTGTTAATTAAAGTCTTGATCTTTGTTGGGCATGAATTTAAATTTATTTGTTTAACCAGGAATCAATTGACTTGGATTGGATGCTTTTCCCAAAAATTTTCTTACTATCTTTACAAGCTATAAAGAAGTTACAATTAGTTTGAGATATAGTTTTGAGTATTTTATGACAATTGATTAATCATTTGTGGAGAAGGAAATGACCATCTTTCTGCTTTATTTAAACATTTAATTCATTGCTTTGCTTGTTCCATTGTATCTAAAACGTCAATATTTTTTTTTTTTTTTTTTTTTTTATTGCTTAAAGTATTACAAAGGGTATTACATATGTGTCCATTTTATCCCCCCGCCCTAGACAGTCCCCTAGCCTCCCCTATCCCCCCATGTCTTATGTCCACTGGTTATGCTTCTATGCATGCATACAAGTCCTTTAGTTGATCTCTTACCCCCCTACCTCCTGCCCCGCAACCCTCCCCGGCCTTCCTGCTGCAGTTTGACAATCTGTTTGAGGGAGCTCTGCCTCTGTATCTATTATTGTTCAAAAGTTTATAATGGTCTCTATTATCCATGAATGAGTGAGATCATGTGGTATTTTTCCTTCATTGACTGGCTTATTTCACTTAGCATAATGCTCTCCAGTTCCATCCATGACGTTGCAAATGGTAAGAGTTCCTTCCTTTTTAGAGCAGCATAGTATTCCATCGTGTAGATGTACCACAGTTTTCTAATCCATTCATCTACTGATGGGCACTTAGGCTGTTTCCAGATCTTAGCTATGGTGAATTGTGCTGCTATGAACATAGGGGTGCATATATCCTTTCTGATTGGTGTTTCTGGTTTCTTGGGATATATTCCTAGAAGTGGGATCACAGGGTCAAATGGGAGTTCCATTTTCAGTTTTTTAAGGAAACTCCATACTGTCTTCCATAGTGGCTGCACCAGTCTGCATTCCCACCAGCAGTGCACAAGTGTTCCTTTTTCTCCACATCCTCTCCAGCACTTGTCGTTTGTTGATTTGTTGATGATAGCCAGTCTGACAGGTGTGAGATGGTACCTCATTGTTGTTTTGATTTGCATCTCTCGGATGATTAGTGACTTTGAGCATGTTTTCATATGTCTCTTGGCTTTCTGAATGTCCTCTTTTGAAAGGTGTCTATTTAGGTCCTTTGCCCATTTTTTGATTGGATTGTTTATCTTCCTTTTGTAAAACGTCAATATTTTTTAGATGCTGGTTATTTATTCTTTTGTCTATTTATTCTTTTTGACACATATGCTTATGTCTGTGTACACATAAGCTATGCTATTGGAGTTATTGGTCATGAGAGTTTTAGAACACAGTATATTAGTTTCTGCTCAGTTGAATTTCTCTATAAAAATATATTTCAGATGAACAAATAGACTGAATTTTTTCTATGATAGTTATAACTGGTTATAATGAGTAATATTAAAATTATATTTTTCAGATAGCATATATTCTCCATAATGTTAATGACAAATCACTAATATTAATTGATGAACTTGGCAGAGGTACTAATACAGAAGAAGGTATTGGCATTTGTTATGCTGTTTGTGAATATCTGCTGAGCTTAAAGGTATTCTCTATTTTTAGTATATTAGTTTTGAGCCCTTTTTTGATGTGTCCTTTACTTATCACGATTGGATTTTACAGGCACCTATAAATAGCTCTTTAAACAATTTTAGATAATGAAAAGTACTATAGCATTTATATTTTTGTTTTTTTACTTCTGATGGAAGTAGGAATGGTTGGTACAATCAATAGTCATGATGTAGACAAGGAAAGGAGCAAATAAAAAACCACAAATAATGTTAAAACGAGTCACTTGCGAAACATGAATGCATTTCAGTAATGGTCTTCATGTGTAATAGCATTGACTGTGATGTCACAGCATGAAATAGAACCAGGCATTAGAGGTCACTTTATGGAAAATCTATTTACCTGACAGTCCATTCCTTTAAAGAAAATGTTTTTTTCCAAAAATCAATTATATAAAACAAGCTATGACTTTTGCTCTATTATTAAGTTAATTTGTGAAGTACCTTTTAGATCATCATTCAAATTATATTCAGATATGAAAAAATTTGAATAAAAATATTTTTCCATTTCTAAACTGCCGGAAGCCGGTCCATCCTTGTTGCTTGACACAGTCGCTGCAGGATAGAAACATCTGCACAGCATATGTTTCAAGGGACCTGGCGTATATAGCATACTGTTCTTAATATGTTTGCTCCCCTTAGCGCTGTGTGTTTTAACCAAGGTCACCTCTCCGAGAAAGGTGGTTTCCCCAGGTAGGGATTTTTCCCTGAAGTTAGGGAGGGGATGAAACTCCTTAACTAAGTGCCAGGCGGGTAGTTAATCACTTTAACTACAAACAATCATGCTTAAGCTACATAATCTTTACTCCCTGGAATGGAGATAAGAAACGCCCTAACCTTTGTAATAGAAATTGACAGGATTAAAATCAACTGGTATAGATATGGATGTAACAAGACAATAAACAGCAGAACCTCTCTGGAGATCCAGACCAGAACTTGGCTGGAGATCCTGGCTGGAGATCCTGGCTAGGCTGCTGATCAACTGAACATTGTCTCCGTGTCCTTCCTTCTTCGCCGACTCCGTCTACGCCTTTGGGAACCCCTGGACCTACTGGGGTTGGACCCCGGCACTAAACTACCTCAAAAAAACATCCCTAAGATGGGAGTCCATAATGATTTATTATGCCTTAATATACCTTAAATGAGATTTCATAATGATTTATTATATAGAATAAGAAAAATATTATTTTATACTTAAAGTTATGTGATGAGTCAAAAGTAACATTGGATAACATATTGGTTCTATGGTTTCTGGAATGGACTCTGTAATATGATTAATTAAGATACTCATGACTCTATTTCCAGGAGTAAAGAAAGCACTGTTAATCCTGGCAATAGAAATATGCAAAATATCACCATTGGATACTCTTAATCACTTATGAGAAGCAAGGAACTGGGTGACTGTATATATGATACCTACAAATATTTTTTGCAAACTAAGGAGTCTAATGAGATTGGCTGGTTGCTCCTAATGTTTTTGGACAAAATGGGGAAAGAAAAGGAGGCAATCAGGAATTGAAATGCCTGCATAAATCTCTATATACATGACCTGAAAGCTTCTATTTGTGTCCTTAAGGGGCATGTGCCTCTTACCTCCTGTCTTACACCTCAGGACTGAGATTCTGAAAATACAACCGAGATCTCATCCCGTAACTGGCTGAATTACAATGCAAGTTGAACTCTTAGCCATATGGTAGCAATTCTATTATTAAAGTGAGAGCATTGGTTAGGAAGAAATGGGATCCTGAAAGTTGGAAGGGGGACATGTGGGAAGACTTTAATGAAGCTGGGAGCATTGAGCCTCTAAATTCTTTTTTAAAATATATTTTTATTGATTTCAGAAAGAGGAAGAGAGAGAGAGAGAGAGTAGAAACATCAATGATGAGAGAGAATCACAGATTGGCTGTCTCCTGCACGCCCCTACTGGGGATTGAATCCTGGCATGTGCCTGACTGGAAATTCATGGGTCGATGCTCAACCACTGACCACCACCAGCTGGGCTGAACCTCTAGATTCTGATGAGTCTTTTTTTTTTTTTTTTTAAATATATTTTATTGATTTTTTACAGAGAGGAAGGGAGAGAGATAGAGAGTTAGAAACATCAATGAGAGAGAAACATCGATCAGCCGCCTCCTGCACACCCCCTACTGGGGATGTGCCCGCAACCCAGGTACATGCCCTTGACCGGAATCGAACCCGGGACCTTTCAGTCTGCAGGCCGACGCTCTATCCACTGAGCCAAACCGGTTTCGGCCTGATGAGTCTTTTTTGCCAGTGGAAGATGCCTCTCTACCATAAGTGGGAGTAGCTTTGCCACCCCATCTGTGCAGATTTACTCTGCTTTGCCTGGAGAAACCGTAATGGCCTCCCCTGACGCAGTTGTTGTGTAAGACAATGCTGATTTTCCTTAGGATCCATTTGTAGCAACCTTCATAATAGGATACAGGTCCTAGCAGGTCCCTAAGGGTAAAGTACAACTTATGGCTGATGAGGAGGGACACTATACTTCCAAAGAACTACTTGAGTTTTCTAATTTATACAGATAGAAATCTGGAAAACATGTGTGGAACTGGATATTAAGGATATGGTATAATGATAGAAAGAATATAAAGTTGGATCAGACTGAATTTATTAATAGGGACTTGCTAGGCAGAGTCCCTATTAATCAATGTTGCAACTTGGGATGTTTGGTTGGTTGATTGAGACATGAACCAAAAGGTCGCCCGTGGTGAGTTGGAAGTGTTGGATCTGCCTTGTTTTAATATAGAGCTCTTGATATAAGAAATGTCTAAACCTGTAGAGAATTTTTATAAGGGTTTATTTTAGCCAAACTGACATGTGCTGGGGAGAAAGATCTCAAATGCTCTGGGTAATAGCAGTTTTAAAGTTTCCTTTATGCATTTTAAATTAAGAGGGAACATAAAGAAGATTACATGAAGGTGGGGAAAAAAACAAGGTGAGGTTGGATTACAGAATAGTTAAAATTTTATGATTTCTTGAGGGTTAATACTATGATATTTCAGGGGTATTACTTTTTATATTTCAAAGGTGTGTTAACCTAGATGCACAGGAACAATTGACTGCTGGCTTAAAACCTTTTTACTAAAGGCAATATAGGCCAGAGGTCTGACTACCCATCAGGACCTGCCCAGTTAGGAATTTATGATCAGATGCCCTGTGTGGTTACTTTCCATCCATAGAATAAGTGTTTCAAAGGCTTAGGGAGATAAGAATGTTATTGTAGATTTATTATTTAAGGCCCACTCACCCACCCTAGACAGGGCCAAAAGACATATCTTTCACCATGACTGGGAGAAATAAATTTGTGAGGAGAGCCCCGACATCCTTGAAGAGCTCTGATAGCTTTTCTCTATAGGCCAGTCCTTGCAGTGGAAAGTGTAGTTATTGAATTGGGAATCCTAAATACAAGGAAGTAATTGGATCTCAGGGTTGCAGGAGCCAATTGGTAGCACTCAACCACCAAAGGTAAGGTTGGTGTGGCTACCAAAACAGACAGTAGAGTCAAAGCAGCAATCAGAGTAAGTCTTGACTTGGGAAGATCTGTGACATTGGCTGGTTGATCATGGTGTCTCTAGAGGTAAAAGAGATAGGAAATTTATTAAATTCTTAATCTGTGTAAGCATAAAAGTTTTAGGTCAAGTGAACAAAGGTCTATCGAATTATAAAAACAGAGTCAGGTGATAAATGGAGTTTTAGCTCAGGTCTATCTCATACTGGGCCCAGTGGGTTCCCAGCCCATCCTGTGGTTAGAGGAGGTACAGAGGTGAAAGATGCAAAGGTGGTGATTTCCACCACATCTCCATTACACTCACATATTTGGTCTGAGCAGAAGACAGATGGATCATAACCTTATCCATGTGGTGACTGTAATTGCAGCTGCTGTATCAGATGAGGTCTCACTGCTTGAGTAAATTAACGTATCCCCTGGTACCTGGGATGCAGCTAATTGGTCTAGCCCAGTGGTTGGCAAACTGCGTCTCGCGAGCCACATGTGGCTCTTTGGCCCCTTGAGTGTGGCTTTTCCACAAAATACTGACTTCTGCGCATGGGCCACGAAGTTTCAATCGCACTGTATGTGCGCGCCCACATGTGGTATTTTGTGGAAGAGCCACACTCAAGGAGCCAAAGAGCCGCATGTGGCTCGCGAGCCGCAGTTTGCTGACCACGGGTCTAGCCAATGTTTTTTCCTCTATATCTGTCAATCAAGACCACCAGAAACAGATTGCTTTCAGCTGGCAATGTCAACAATATACCTCCAACTTGAGGGGTATATCAGCTCTCTAACTCTATGTCATAATTTCGTTTGCAAGGACTTTGATCACTTTAACCTGCCACAAGATATTACACTGGTCCATTACATTGATTACATTATGATAATTGGATCTAGTAAGCAAGAAGTAGCAACTACTCTAGATTTATTGGTAAGACATCTGTGTGTCAGATGGGGGAAATAAATCTGACAAAAGTACAGGGGCCTTCTATCTCAGTGAAATTTCTGATCACTGATTCTAGGGATCCAGTGTGTAGGGCATATGTTATGATATTCCCATGTTGAGGTGAAGTATAAGTTGTTACATCTGGCCCCTCCAACTCTTGTTACATCTGGCCCCACCACCTTCCATAGTTGATATCCATTTGCCAGTCAAATATTTTATCTTAATGTCTTAATATTGTAATTTTCCACTAATAACCTATTTAGTTGCTCACTGGTAATGTCTTAAACTTAATCAACTATTCAAATTTCTTTCTGCTTTAGTAACTCTGGGTAAGAAACCATGTGCTGGTCATAAGTCACTTGAATTACCTCCATCAAAATCAACTTAGGGGAAAAAAAAGTTTCCTGGGGCCCCACATTACAGCTCCTGATTGAGAATTTCAGGGAGATAAGCACCAAGAATGTGCATCTTTAACAAGCTCCCCAGATGATTACTAAAGTTTGAGAATCATTGTCCTAAACAATTTTCTCAAAAACTTAAAACCTTTTCCTGGCCAATGTAGCTCAGTTGTTGAGTATCGATCTATGAACCAGGAGGTCACAGTTGGATTCCTGATCAGGGCACATGCCTGGGTTGCATATGCCCGGGTTCAATTTCCAACGTGTGTGTGTGTGTGTGTGTGTGTGTGTGTGTGTGTGTGTGTGTGTGTGGCGGCGGAGTGGGGGGGCATGAAGGACGCAGCTAATCAATGATTCTCATCATTGATGTTTCTATCTCTCCCTCTCCCTTCCTCTCTGAAATCAATAAAAATATATTTTTAAAAAACCACTTAAGCCCTAACCTGTTTGGCTCAGTGGATAGAGGATCAGCCTGCGGACTGAAGGATCCCAGGTTCGATTCCGGTCAGGGGCATGTACCTTAGTTGCAGGCACATCCCCAGTAGGAGGTGTGCAGGAGGCAGCTTATCGATGTTTCTCTCTCATTGGTGTGTCTAATTCTCTATCCCTCTCCCTTCCTCTCTGTAAAAAATCAATAAAAAATATTTTTTTAAAAAAACAAAACAAAAACCACTTAAAAGCTTTGCAATTTCAAATACCTAAGACTATCCATTGAGTCCATTGTTCACAAACTATTTATATGGAGGGAAGATACTTTTAAAGTAGTTTTTTTTTTTTAAAGTTGAGGGAAATACTGATTTTGTTAATGGATTACTTCTCTAATAAATGATTACCGAAGTTAATAGCTTTATTTCTGATAAACTTTACCTTTTCAATATCTTTAGACTCTTCTTTTAGGATTTCATTTTTGGATTTGTTTTCTTTCCCATAATGTAACATAATTGTGTATGTATAAACATAATAAACATGTTCTTCCTTGAATATAAATTTTTGAAACATTTAAAAATGAATTGACCATGTTAGACTTAAAGTTACTAGTTTCATTCTTACTTTTCTGCTAAGCTACTTGAAAAACAGAGCTAAATTTTATGTTAAAGTTGTTAAAATAGAATTTTATTATTCATTAAAAAGTATTAAAATTCATTATTATATATTCTAGGCATTCACACTGTTTGCCACACATTTCTTGGAATTATGCCATATAGATGCCATGTATCCTAATGTAGAAAACATGCATTTTGAAGTTCAACATGTAAAGAATACCTCAAGAAATAAAGAAGCAATTTTGTATACGTACAAACTCTCTAAGGGATTCACAGAAGAAAAAAATTATGGTAATACATAAGGAAAGTTTATCTATATACTGAAACTCTATATGTTCTTCTTCTCCCCTTTACTTGGCTGTCAATCTAAGTAACTTTCCCTCTCAATCTTTTGAGTGCTTATATGCTCTAAAACTGGTTTATATGTCAAACTTCTATTTTATATGTTCATTTTAAAACTTATATTAACCAGTAACTGTAGAATTATAACACATGAAGGCCCCAGAAGTATTAGTGTCTATCCTTAGGAAAATGTACTTTAGTTTATATTTGCAAGTTAGATAATGAATTGAAAATTATGTGTTTCTTACACTCTTTCAGTAACAGGGTTCTTTTTCTGTATTCTTCAGAGTCTAGGAACTTGATAATTAAATCTAAAGTCTTAAAATGGGGTATATTACCAAAGCATATGATATTCATAAACTTGATTACATATTTTCCCTCTACATTATTTTTGACATGTGTGAAATCTCATGGATTCAGAGAATTTTCAATTGACCTATACATAAAACATTCCAAAAATTATTTTAGCTGTAAATGTGACCCTTGTAAGAGGGGAAAAAATCATTTTTTTTTTTTTTTTACCATTTGAAATTTAATTTGTATCAGATGTTTAATCTTTATAAGCCTCAACTTTATTAAATGGGATAATTTTCCACATATGTGGGCTTGTGAAGATTAAATGAATTATCAAATATGAACTAGTATAGTGCCTAGCAATTATTAACTTCTAAGTAAATATTATATGCTTCTATTGCCTCTAAAAAATAAATACAATAAATTTTTAGCATACAGTAGAAAGCATATATGGCATCCTATATAATAAAGAGCTAATTAGACTGGGCAGCAGAACAACTTTCTGGGATGACCTTCGACCAGTGGCGGGGGGGGGGGGGGGGAGCGGGGCCATGAGGCAGCTGGACTGATGTGGTAGCCAGGGCTGCTGTGAGGGCCAAGGTGGCAGCCGGGGCTGCGAGGGCTGAGACCCTTGCATGAATTTCTGTGCGTCAGGCCTCTAGTTTATACAGTTAAATTAAGGTCTGAGAGCATGAGACTACTAGTTGGTACTTTGAATTTGCATGAAGAGTAATCACCTACCATTCTATATTCTGAGAAATTCCTCTCTCATTGATCTGCTAGCTAGAGGAACATTCAGCTGTATGGTGATCTCTGTGACTAAACATTCTCTTCCCTTGTAAAACTTATATATACTTGGACCTTCTGTTACCAACTGCATTTGTAGCTGGTCAATGTTATTACTATTTTTCAATTTTCTAATTGCCTCTTTTCCTTTGCTAACATGTTTTCCTATATCACAGAAATATCTTCAGAGATTTTATCTAATATGTCTTGCATATGTAATTAAATATAATAATATGGAAAGTTGAACTTTGGAAAACTTAATTTTGAGAATTGTCTAGTAGTTCAGAAATGTATATGAATGGAATTTTAAATATCTGAGAAAAGATTAATACTGGTTAAAAGAAACCTAATGACACTAGCAAGAATAATATTGAAGCCCCATTGCTTATAATTTTAGGATTAAAAGCTGCAGAGGTGTCATCACTCCCACCATCAATTGTCTTGGATGCCAAAGAAATCACAACTCAAATTACCAGACAAATTTTGGTAAGAAACTTTTTAGCAATAAGAATTGTTTTTCAAATTTAAGGATACTTCTAGTGTATATGTTTATAATGGCCTTGGATTTAAGTATATAATAATTAAAATATTTAAAAGAATCCTCTTTACTTCTCAAAACATTTTGGGTTTTGTTCATTATAGCCTTTTCCTTTATTTTATTTTTTAAATTAAATCTTTATTGTTCAGATTAGTACAGTTGTTCCTCTTTTTTCCCCCCATAGCTCCCCTCCACCTGGTTCCCACCCCACCGTCTGCCCTTACCCCCATCCCCCACTGTCCTCATCCATAGGTGCACGATTTTTGTCCATTCTCTTCCCGCACTCCCCACACCCCTTTCCTCCCTGAGAATAGTCAGTCCACTCCCTTTCAATGCCCCTGATTCTATTATATTCACCAGTTTATTCTGTTCATCAGATTATTTATTCACTTGATTGTTAGATTCACTTGTTGATAGGTGTGTATTTGTTGTTCATAATTTGTATCTTTACCTTTTTCTTCTTCTTCCTCTTCTTAAAGGATACCTTTCAACATTTCATATAATACTGGTTTGGTGGTAATGAACTCCTTTAGCTTTTTTCTTATCTATGAAGCTCTTTATCTGACCTTCAATTCTGAATGATAGCTTTGCTGGATAAAGTAATCTTGGTTGTAGGTTCTTGCTATTCATCACTTTGAATATTTCTTGCCACTCCCTTCTGGCCTTCAAGGTTTCTGTTGAGAAATCAGCTGACAGTAGTATGGGTACTCCCTTGTAGGTAATTGACTGTTTTTCTCTTGCTGCTTTTAAGATTCTCTCTTTGTCTTTTGCTCTTGTCATTTTAATTATGATGTGTCTTGGTGTGGTCCTCTTTGGATTCCTTTTGTTTGGGGTTCTCTGCGCTTCCTGGACTTGTAAGTCTATTTCTTTGACCAGGTAGGGGAAGTTTTCTGTCATTATTTCTTCAAATAGGTTTTCAATATCTTGCCCTCTCTCTTCTTCTGGCACCCCCATAATTCAGATGTTGGTATGCTTGAAGTTGTCCCAGAGGCTCCTTACACTATCCAGGCTAGAGGGAGAAACGCGCTCAGTAGGAACTAGAGCCTCAGAGAAAGACTGCCCCCCAAAATCCGTGGCTGTTGGGATCAGTGTAGCCCTCGAATGTGGAAGGGGGTCCACAGGGCTGCTGGCAGGAGGGGATTCTAGATATTAACCCACAGCTGGATTGGACCCAGAAAGGCAGCCTGAAGTACTGTACCGGCTGTGCAGGGTGGCGCACAGAGTCATGCACAGAGCCAGAGTAGAGAGGCCTTTTATCCCAGGATATTAAGACAGAAACATTGCCACCCTGGGGCTGTAGCAGAAATTGTAAACACAACTAAAAAAAGACTGAGAACCAAAGAGAGCAGAGAGATCCGCCTGCTTGAAAATAGGGTGTGGCTTACGACACCAGGGAACTTCAATACTGTGCTGAATACCTGCAAGGAAAAAGACGTGCCAAGCAGAACAGTGGAGGAAGTGAACCAACCACCTTCACTACCTCACATTTTTATTTTTTATCTTTTACTTAAGAAACACATTTTTTTCTCTCATTCGATTTTACCTTATTTTTATTATATTTTTATTTTTAACTGTTAGTATTAATACTATTATTTTACCCTTTTTAAAAAGTTTTATTTTATGTTATTTTTTCTTTATTTTATTTTATTTTATTTTATTTTATTTTATTTTATTTTAGGATTAGTGTTATGCATTGTATTTTGATTTTCCCTTTAGCATTATTTTACTCTATCTCAATTTTTCCTTTATGCCAATACTCTATCACTTTTCCCCTTTTTTTGTCCTGTTTCTCTTACCCTGTTCCTGCTTTAGTTTTTCTCTATCCTTTCTTTTTACTCCCTGTTAAAAATTGATCTTACTCACACATCTAATTTCCTCTCCTCTGCTCCAAACCCATACACACTTCTCTCTTCACTTTCTTCACTATCTAAATTCTTTTTCTTTTTTTTTCCTTTTTCTTTCTTTCTGTCTTGTTGTTGTTTGTTTGATTATTGGTTAGTTTTTTTGTGTGTTTTTTTGCTTCTGGTTTTCCTCTCCTCACTTGTTCTCTTCTTCTACTAATAGCTTAACTATTTCCAATCACCAACTCAGGCCTATCTACTCTCTATCCTCCTTTTCCAATAGTAAACAAATACATAGATAAATAGATTAAAGAAGGAGGAAAATTTTATATATATAAAATATATATATAAATTTTCTTTTATATATATATATTTCAATATATATATGTTTTTTCTTTTCTTGTATTTAGTTTTTAACTTTTCTTCTTATACAGCCATTCTCTTTCTAACTCCTCTATACTGAATTGTGAGTATTTCCCCATTCAATCAATTTCTTGACCTTACCTCCTGGAAATAAGCTCTTCCTCCTCAGATTCATCTGGGTGTTTGTTGTTTGCATTTTTTGGATTAGTTGTTTTATTGGCATTTTCCCTCATATACATATTTTTTTTCTCTTTTCTCTTACATTTTTTCTTTTTCTCAATATCATTTTTGCACTAATCTCTATTCCCTAATTCTCTTTTCTCTGGTGGTCACCTTTATTTGGGGTATTAGTATTGTGAAAACATTTGTGTTTGGTGCCCTGTGCGTTGTGTCTTGTGTTGTATTTTGTGCCTTTAAGTCAATGCAGGAGAGAGAGAGCTACATAACCAGAAACCCTGAGAGGAGCGATCATAGGGGGACAAAGAAACAGCCCACATAAGAAAGAAAAGGAGGCATCACCAGAAAAGGAAGTAAGTGAAATAGAGGCAAGCAATATGTCAGAGAAAGAATTCAGAGAAATGGTCAAAAGGTCGCTGAAAAGGATGGAAGACAAATTAAACAATATATGTAAAAACCAAGAGAAAATGAAGAAGAACCAAGAAGAAATGAAAAATGACATTACTGCAATAAAGAACTCAATAGAAAGCATCAACAGTAGACTAGAAGAAGCAGAGGACCGCATCAGTGAGCTAGAAGGCAAGGCAGGAAAAAATACCCAAGCAGAGCAGCATCTAGAAAAAAAACTTAAAAAACAGGAGGAGAGCCTAAGGGAACTTTGAGCCAACATGCACCAAAACAACATTTGCATAATAGGGGTGCCAGAAGGAGAGGAAATTTAGCAAGGTATAGAAAACCTGTTTTAAAAAGGAATGACAGAAAACTTCCCTGATATCTGGAAACAAAAACTCACACAAGTCCAAGAAGCTCACAGAGTCCCAAACAAGATGAACCCGAAAAGATCGACTTCAAGAAACATTATAATTAAATTGGCAAACACCAACAACAAAGTAAGAATCTTAAAGGCTGCCAGAGAGAGACAGAAAGTTACCTACAAAGGATCTCCTATCAGTCTATCGACTGACTTCTCAATACAAACACATCAGGCTGGAGGGAATGGAATGAAATATACAAAGTCATGCAAAGGAATGATCTGAATCCACGAATGCTGTACCAAGCAAGGCTATCAATCAAAATTGAGGGTGAAATCAGGAGCTTCATAGACTAAGAAGGACTAAGGGAGTTTATTACCACCAAACTATCAATGCAAGAAATGCTAAAGGCTAACTGGTTTGGCTCAGTGGATAGAGTGTCAGCCTGCAGACTCAAGGGTCCCAGGTTCGATTCAGGTCAAGGGCATGTACCTTGGTTGTGGGCACATCCCCAGTGGGGAGTGTGCAGGAGGCAGCTGAATCGATGTTTCTCTCTCATCGATGTTTCTAACTCTTTATCCCTCTCCCTTCCTCTCTGTAAAAAAATCAATAAAATATATTTAAAAAAAAGAAATGCTAAAGGGTCAGCTGTAAAAAGAACAAATAGGAATGGGAGAAGGAACACAGGCATAAAGAATAAAAATGGCAACAAACAAGTAACTATCAATAATAACTTTAAATGTAAATGGATTAAATGCCCCAATAAAAAGACATAGGGTAGCTGAGTGGATAAGAAACCATGATCCATATATCTGCTGTCTACAGGAAACCCACCTCAGAACAAAGGACTCACATAGACTGATAGTGAAGGGATGGGAAAAGGTTTTTCAAGTGAATGGAAATGGAAAAAAGCTGGGGTAGTATTTCTTATATCGACAAATTAGACCTCAAAGTGAAGGCCATAACAAGAGATAAGGAAGGCCACTTCATAATACGAAAGGGAGTAATTCAACAAGAAGATACAACTATGATAAACATATATGCACCCCATACAGGAGCACCCAAATACATAAAAAAACTTCTGGAGGATATCAAGGGAGAGATTGACAGCAATACAGTCATAGTAAGGGACTTTAATACCTCACTAACACCACTGGAAAAATCATCTAAACAAAAAATTAGCAGAGAAACATCAGTCCTAAATGCTTATTAGATCAGATGGAATTAATTTACATCTTCAGAACATTCCACCCCAAAGCCACAGAATATGCATTCTTCTCAAGTGCACATGGGTCATTTTCAAAGATAAACCACATATTGGGGAACAGGCAAAGTCTCTTCAAATTCAAGAAGATAGAAATCATATCAAGCATCTTCTCAGATCACAATGGCATAAAACTAAATATCAACTGTAATAAAAACAATAAAAAAATCAAACACCTGGAGGCTGAATAGCATGCTTTAAAACAATGATTGGGTTACCAAAGAGATCAAAGAAGAAATAAAAAGCATCATGGGAAGAAATGACAATGAAAGCGCAACAATCCAAAATCTATGGTTCACAGTGAAAGCAGTCTTCAGAGAGAAGTTCATAGCTGTACAGGCCTACCTCAAAAAACAAGAAACAATGGCAATAAATTATCTAACCCTACAACTCAAAGAGTTAGAAAAAGAGGAACAAGAAAAGCCCAGCGTAAGCAGAAGGAAGGAAATAATAAAGATCAGTGCTTACTACCCCAGCCTTACACAATATTACTTAACTATATAACCTACATTTCTGCCATATTTAATTATCATTTTGTTGTTCTGACCTGATTGTATAACTAACTTACTTCCTTCCCTCCTTCCTTCCTGCCTCTCTCTCTCTCTCTCTCTCTCTCTCTCTCTCATTTATAAATATTTTAAAGTTAAATTTATTGATTTATTGGGTTGACATTGGATAATAAGATTATATAACTGTACCATGCTTTTAATGTGTCTTCTCTAGGTGTTTCCTTTGTCCAGAATATCCTTCCTTCTAAACTTTTCTTGTCTATCAAGATTGATTCCAAATACCCTATCATATTCACACTTTTCTTTATCTGAGCTCTTCTTCGTTTGAGCATTTTGTATTCTCTAATGGGACTCATCATAATTACATCATTAGTTGCTTATAAATATGTCTTTTACATTATAAGACTGATCTTGAGTTCATTATCATATCAGGTAGACATTTTTGTATCTCCTATAGGTATACTAGTAAATACAAGGTATGGGGCTCAGAATATAGATAACAATGGATATTCAATAACTACTTGTTATTTAAATAATAAACTGATAGTTGATTAATGTATTAAATAGGTACATGGGTAAATATATGATAATCTTATTCTACTCACAAAATCATATTTATTTTTCCTATAGTGAAAGTAGAATAATATCTGGAATTGCTTGCTATTAGGAAAGAGTTGAGGGATTTTATTTCCCTTAGTAAAAAGAAACTCACTAAGACTTTGCATACACAGTTAACATTGAAAATGCTGGTTCCCCTATCTAGGTCAGGCAAAAAGTGAATGAAGAATTTTCTAGCTGTACCTCCAACCCTGAAGTATTATTCAAGGACTGAATATATAAAGATCTTACAAAGAATTTGAAAATTGCCATTATAAACATTATTTCTTGGGTATCCTTAAATAGTTTGTTGAAAATCAAGGCATAATTTTAAGTAGCTAATTATGTTGCTTATTTTTAAATTGTAATTTGCCTTTCAGGCAGTATTTTCTCTTAGGCTCTAGCAGTTTTTATATATGAACTCTCTTGAGGGACAAGCAGTTTATTGATGACCCATTCTTTCCACCAGCTTATCTGTTGGGGGATTAATATAGGAGATAGCAGAGTGGTACTCTTGGGTGACAATTGAAATTATGAATACTGAATAGCAATGAGCAGTGCTCTTTTCCCATACCTTTTTAATGAGAAAGTGTTTGTTGAACATAACTCTGGTGGATTTTCTATTGTTTTCTGGTATTGTGTTGAGATAGTTGACCTACTTAGCAGATTTTTCTTTTAATTGAAAAGTGATTTTCAAGGTTATAAGAATCTGTCATAAAGTTGTAAATACTCTTGAGAACTTTTATTCTCCAAAATAATATATCTTTATTTCTTCTCATATATTCTTGCTAGTTGGATGGAATTGATTTAGTTGAAGGGATTTGCTAACCCATGAATTCTATATTTCTATTAAAAGATATAGAAAATTACTAAAATTTTAATATTAGAATCATGGTAGTCATATTTTAAATTATATATATATGTATTTTTTCAATGATAGCAATATCAAAGAAGTACTCCTGAGATGGAGAGACAGAGAGCGGTGTACCATCTAGCTACTAGGCTAGTTCAAACTGCTCGAAACTCTCGGTTGGATCCAGACAGTTTACGAACATATTTAAGTAATCTCAAAAAGAAGTACGAAGCAGAGTTTCCCAAGGCTGAGCAAGTTTCAGGAAGGACTGAAGAAGAATAACAATTCACATCTTATAGAATTCATTTTTCCCAAGAGCAAAAGAAGATATTTTTATAATTTTATATTTTAGTTGACAATTACTTTATATTAACCTTAGAATTATCATTCTCTATGTATTCTGTTTAAGAAAATATTTGTTATTTTTACCTAACAATGGGAACAATTTAAAGGATTGATTTTTAGGGGGAAAAAGTATGAGATGATACTTTTTTTTTCATTTATGAAAACTTACATTATTATTTTAAGTTTATTGGTAAAGTTATGGTTTAAGATGTTATTATAAATATCTTAGTTTAAAAAAACAAGTTTCTTTTTATGTCTGGAAACTTATGTGAGTTTTTTACATGCTACTCTAAAACAATAATACCTTATGTCTCAATAAATTTTTACTTAGTATCCAAAATTCTAATACTAGATGCTTCTGAAATTAGTTAGAATGATATTGGGGATTTTAAAGTATTCTTTTTGATATTCAGTATAGTGTATATTTGTGAAAATAAACACATAGGCCTGTGTAATGCAGGGAGTGTTTCCCAATAGCCAGGTGTGCCATTTTGTACTCACCAACCTTTCTTCTTTTTTATATTTTCATTTTTGGCCATTTTAGGTGAGTTAACCAAGGCTGCAGAAAAGTAATATCAATTTCTTTTTTTTTTTTAATATTTTATTGATTTTTTACAGAGAGGAAGGGAGAGGGATCAAGTGTTAGAAACATCGATGAGAGCAAAACGTTGATCAGCTGCCTCCTGCACACCTCCTACTAGGGATGTGCCCGCAACCTAGGTACACACCTTTGACCGGAATCGAACCTAGGACCTTTCAATCCGTAGGCCAACGCTCTATCCACTGAGCCAAACCAGTTAGGACATAATATAAATTTCTTTACCTCATTTCTTGTTTCACAGAGAACATTTTATAGAACTATTTTTCCATAGGCGTGTGACTTACACCACCATTTTAGAATTTACCCACAGATCATTGTTGTTTCATAAATGGACAAAATAAAATGGAAGACCATCAGTTGTTCAGTAACTGTAAAGAGCTGCTGTCTTCTCAAACACCTTATTTTTACAGTTCCATCACAGTAAATGACTTATTTATATAATCTCAGCCCATAATCTCAGCCCAGAGGCCTAAGATAGAGAAGTTATTTTTTTCCTGGACAATTAAGTTTCTGGAACTCAGGGCATACATTCAGCAGTCTTCAGAATTAATAGTAATTTGGCCAAAAAAATTACTCAGACTGGTTAGGGCCCTATTTTTGTTGACATACACATATTTTGCCTTATAAATTTATTATTAATATGTTTGACTTTATTAAACTTTTTCAGCATTCTAAGTACATATTAGTAACAAGCTATATTGAAAAAGTTATAATTCAAATTATACACATACTGTTGGAAGAGTAAATGTTAAGTTAGTGTTAGTATTTACATTTGATATCCTATATAATAAAAGCTTAATATGCAAATTGACTGAATGGTGGAATGACCAGTGGAACGACTGGTGACTGTGATGCTCACTGACCACCAGGGGGCATTCGCTCAATGCAGAAGCTGCCCCCAGCCCACAGGCCCTGGCCAGCCAAGGCAGGTGCCAGCAGGGACCCCCCGATCGCCCCCCTGGTCGCCCCACAGATCGGCCTTGATTGCTGGCCTGGCCTAGGGACCCTACCCGTGCAGGAATTTCGTGCACCAGGCCTCTAGTTTAATATTCCTGCACTTGGGGGGTGGGGGTCTCTCAGCCCAGCCTGCGCCCTCTCGTAGTCCAGGAGCTCTCTGGAGATGTCCGACTGACAGCTTAGGCCTGCTCCCCGGCTCAGGGCTTCTGGTTGAAAAGCGCTTCCCCTATGGGAGTGCACTGACCACCAGGGGGCAACTCCTGCATTGAGTGCCTGCCCCCTGGTGGTCAGTGCACATCATAATGACCAGTTATTCCACTGTTCAGTCAATTTGCATATTAGCCTTTTAAAAATATATATATTTTATTGATTTTTTACAGAGAAGAAGGGAGAGGGACAGAGAGTTAGAAACATCGATGAGAGAGAACCATCGATCAGCTGCCTCCTGCACACCCCCCACTGGGGATGTGCCTGCAACCAAGGCACATGGCCCTGACGGGAATCGAACTCGGGACCCTTGAGTCCGCAGGCCGATGATCTATCCACTGAGCCAAAACGGTCAGGGCTCACCCTTCTATTATATAGGATATTCTCTTATACTACTTATATTCCCCATTGTCCTGTTTTAGGAAGAGAGTACCACAGTATTTGAATTTGACTACTAGGTATATTTTAATTCATGGCCTTTGAAATGAAAAATATTTTATGCAATAATTCCTAAAACCAGTTAGATAATTTAAGCTTGTGGCAAATTTCTAGGAGGCACTGGGGACGAAGAGGGCATGCATATTGTTTGGAAGGATAGGGAAGAAAAGGGAGGAAGCAATCAAAGGCAGAGGGGAGCAGGCATGGAAGAGAAACAGGCATGTAGAGACAGGTGCAAAGTATTCAATATACTGAATATCATTTCCTTAATTGTATTAGTTTTCCTTTAGATTTAATCCTAATATTAGATTCAACCAGACTTTTAAGAAATTTTTCATCATTTAGAGCTTTTGATGTGCAGCTGATTAATTTCTTTCATTTTAGATTTGGAATTCTGAAAAAATTTGTATCTTCTTAAAATTAAATTACTTTTTAAATCTTTTTGTGTGTAACAGAAACATAAAATAAGCAAAGTACATGAAGATATAATTATTATGTCATGGTACTATAGAAAGAGGTGAATACTAGGAAGACAAGCCATTAAAAAAAAATTTAAGGTCTATTTGCTCTCCTCTTTAGGCCTCTTCGCCTTTGCCTTTCTCTAAAATTATAAATCATTATCTCATAATCCAGCTTTTTAAGATAAATGTCCATAATGTAGCAAATTCCTTTAATTTCCATCTCAAAGGCATTCTTTTAGTATGTTCCACTTCTCTCTTCACATGAAGTCATCTTTTTTAAGGCTAGGGGTAAGATATGTGGGAGGGGAGGGAAAGGGCAGCTTATGTTTATGCTTAGGAAGCAATGCATTTGTTTATTTTAAAATTTATATACTGTAAAATTAATTTATGATATACAGTTTTGGTTAAATGGTACACATTTATGGATTCTTGGAACCACTACCACAACCAGGACAAAGAACAGTTCCATCACCCCAAAATGACTCCCTTAGTATTATACCTGCATAGTCAATTCCTTCTCTGACCCCTATTACAGGGAATGATTAAGTAATCCTTCCCTATATGTTTTTCCCCGGAATGTGCAACAAATGGAATCATATAGCATGTAACCTTTGAGACTGGCTTATTTTACTCAGCATAATGTGTTTTAGAATGTATCCTTGTTGTGCCTTTTTATTGATGATTAGTATTTTATTGTTTGTATCACCACAGTTTATCAATTCACTCTTTGAAGGACATTTGGGGTTTCTAGTTTTTTGTAATTATGAATAAAACTGTTACAGACATGCATGTACAGATGTTTGTGTGAGTGTTGTTTTAATTTATCTCAGTTAAATAGGAGTAAAATAGGTCCAGCATGTCATAAGTATATATTTAACTTCATAAAAAGCAGCTAAATTATTTTCCAGAGTGGCTTTACTATTTTGTATTATGATCAGCCATGTAGAGAGAGTTCCAGTTATCCCACATGTTCTCTAGTACTAGGTATAGTCAGTTTTTTAAAGATTTAATTTAGTATGGAACAGATGACATACTAGGTGCTAGGAGTACAAAAGATGTCTGACCTTAGGTGGATATTTCAGGAGTAATAAAGAGCAAATATATATATTAGAGTTGAAACACCATGTAGTAAGTACAATTATAGAGGAACATATTAAAAAGGGTAGTGGCACAAAAAAGTATACAGTTCTTTGTGGGTCAAGGGAGTTTAAAAGATAGTAAAGTATACCAGATATTTAGGAAGAGAAAAGCATTTTAGAAGGATCAGCATATGTAAAAGCAAAGAAATATGAAACAGAAAGCAGCTTGGTTTAGCTGGGGTTAGAATGTGTATGAGAGAGCAGCAAAATAGAGCAGCAAAAAAGATGAATCTAGGTGCTTATAATAAATTTCTCCTATACACCCCTGAAGAGTTTTAAGGAGTGTTTGTTCTCACAGGGTGGGAGAGGGCAATGGTGGTGGTAGTGGAGGGATAGCATGATTAGATTTCCATTTTAGAAAGATCATCTGAGTGATAGCATGAATGATTTGGGGAAGGGTGAATGAAACCATAGTAAAGGAGACCAGATTGTTTAAGAGACTATTTTGGTAATCCAGTAGAGAGTTGACCGTTAAAGGTAGAAGCAGTGAGAGTAGAACAGAATTGTGGGGATGAGGGGAGGAGGAGAGAAAAATGGAGAGAGTAGAGTGACTCCTGGAAGAGAGAAGATACTGATTTGCAAGCTACTAAGGAGATTTAGTGACAGATTAACAAGATTAGTGACTCATCACTTTTTTACTCAAAGGAGGTATTATGGGTTGAATTGCCGCTTCCCCCCTCCCCCCACACACACCCCAAAAAAGATACCTGAAGTCCTAACCCTCTGTACCTCAGAATGTGACCTTATTTGGAAATAGGATAATTTTAAATGTAATTAGTTAAGATAAGGTTATACTAGTAGGGTGGGCCCCTAATTGAATATGACTAGTGTCCTTATAAGGAGATTGCCATGTGATTACAGAAGATTGGCGTGACACTACGGTTCTTAGAAAACTACTAGAAGCTAGAAAGAGGCAAGGAAGGATTCCCCTACAGGTTTCATAGGGAGCATTGCTCTGCTGGAAACTTGATTCTAGTTTCCAAAACTCTGAGACGATTCATTTCTGTTATTTTAAGCCATCCTGTTTGTGTTACTTTGTTATGGCAGCTCTGCCAAACTAAGGGAAGGGTTAAATGTGATTATGGGTGTTGAGCCATCAACCATGCTGAGAAATAGGGAAGTAATAAGAATTCC